ATTTTATACCACTGGTATTCCAAACATTGCTTCATCTTCCAGGGCTCTTCAGAGAAGAAATATGTGCCCCTGCAATCAGTAATTTTCTGGCTATCTTGAATTGCTTTCCGTTGTAGGAGTCTAACCAGGAAAGAGACAGAACAACCTATCAGATCATTGGGAACTCAAGTGTTTTCCAGAAATCCTACAGATCTATTAGAAGCGTGGAGTGACATTCACAATGATCCTGGTTACAGATACTTTTACTTTTTAAGTCAATCCTAATCCTAACCCTTCACATTCAGATCACCAAACAACTGTTGTAAGGCAAACACATTGAGAGAGCAGAATGCCCAGAAAATTGCCAACACCTGTGATGCTTTTGTCTCTTTTAAGCCCTCTTTTCAGGCAGCACAGCAATGTTGGCTATAAATGCTGTGTTGTGAAACAGCTGAGGGTGTTTATGCGGGAGAAAGAGGGTCAGGTGTTTATGTGTAGAAGTAAAGCAGCCTGAAGGTGGCTAAAACAGATTGAAAGGGATGTTTTTCTCTAGCAGCACTCACAAGAAATAGGAGTAGCTGTGGAGAAGAGGCAGGAGTCACAGTAGTGCTTGTGTTGTCAAGGGACCTGTGCTGTTTGTGTTTTGAGCTTACCAAATTGGGTGTAGTTAAGAGATGGCTATTTACATATATTAAGCCTTGAGATTCATCCACAATTGTTATGCAGTCTGTGGACTTCGTGGCTTTTCTGATCCCAGTCTCTAAAACGCATGGTAGAAGTGCAGCTCAGAGACCAAATCAAGGCCAGAGATATTGTTCCTTGAAGGATTTTTTTTTTTGTCATTATTGTCCAGAGTCCTAGCCAGCAAACAAAAAAGGCTTTCAGATGTATAATGTACATGGGATTTGCACAATGAAATCTTTTGTCCATAGGTTGCTGAGTCTCTCTTACTATTGCATCTATGTGTTCTTACATTCACAGCAATTCTTGACCTGGTCTGATGACGGGTTTTAAGGGTTTTAATGGGTTAATTTTAAATTTTTTAGATTTTAGTCTTTATTTTTATTGTGGCTTGTGTTTTATTGTTGTGAGCCGCCCTGTGTCCATTGTGAGATAGGGCAGCATATAAGCCAAATAAAATAAATAAATAAATAAAATAAATTCTACCAAATTCCCCTTTAACTGTGGCATTGTAATCTTTATCTTAATAAAGCAGAACTGAAGTTGATAATTTTTCTGAAATTAAGAATCCTCTATAAATATTACACCCTGAATACTTCTGTGTATAAATGACTTCAAACAAGGTTGATCTTGTTTTAGTTACTTTGTATAGTTTGGACTATATATCAACAAAAAACAGACAAAATGCAATTGTTGCAAATAGGCAGTAACTTTTTATTTTTTCTTCCACAGAATTTGCAACCCTTCCAACAAAAAGAAAATTCACCAACTCTGAATTACCATTTTGTTCTTATTCTAGTAAAGAATACCATTGTTTTTAAACCAATTAATTTGCTTTTCCTAGGATTCTTACTGTATTAATCCCTTTGGAGGAAAGTGTTCCATACATTATATAGCAGTCGTATACGTTTTAAGTGTTTATGTTCATTACAGCATATTTCTTAATCATGTGGTTAGAATTGTAGCCTTTCAGTATATTTGTTGCAACACTTAACAGTCATAATGTTGTTTCTTGCCTTGCAAAATGACTAATGTAGCTATAGCTTTATTATACAAACCATGATCTCTAGTTTCCTGAAAGAGGCCAATCTTGGATATTCAGTACTTTTTGCTGGTATATTTTAGCAATTTGCTATTCCAGTCACTTCAAGGTAGCCATTCTTCAGCATATTTTAAATTTAATACAGCTGGTTCCATGGATTGAGTATTCCAGGTACAACACAGATTCCAGGATTTTGTTCTGAATAAGAAACATCCTTGCCCATTTTGAGTGGTAGCAATCAATCTTCTAACTCTCCCAAGCACTGGACTAATGTTTGGAGTAGTTGATTGAGCTATTTTTCATCCTTGTTTCAGCTTAGCCAGAGTGCATGTGCACTTCACATCTCTTGTAACATTGTTACTTATATAATCAAAAAGAACACCAGACTTTTTCTTTCTTCAACCTGCCTTCAAACATACCCTTAGGACCAGACAAAAATATCAGTTAAGAACAAATTGATCCTACAGAAACTAGCCAAGAGTTTTAATTTTTAAAAGAAAATTAAACTTTAAGAATTAAACAGCTTAGATAGTAAATGGAATATTAGATTATTGAACTGTTCCCTACAATCTATTGGCTGACCAAACTACAGTTTTTATTTATACACATGGGAAAGACCTTTCCTTTTCTGGGTGTATTACTAACCAATGCTTATCTAAATAGTTTTGTTCAACGTACTGTATTCCATGGGGACTTTTACTGTTTTAAAATTGTTTAAAACTTTTAGTGCTTGGGCCTATTTTTGCAATTTAAGTTCTAATAACATACAACATGAACTACCAGTATTACTGAGACCCTGAAGAGAGAAACAAGGAACTGCAGCTGTTTCCAAGTTCCTTGAAATGTTTAAAGAGTTTTTGTTCTTCGAATGGAAGGAATATTTCAACACTCAGACACAAAGCTTCTGGTAGAGCTGCTTTATTCCAAACTCAAAACACAACACCTTTATTGTTTGAAAAAATACTTCCTTTTTCCTCTTTATCAAACTTATTTTATTATGGCAATACTAATAACAAAGATCCTGGTATATATTTGGGTACTTTATTTCAATATACTACAAGTGGACTAGGATAAAAATGATTTAAGAGATTAGTTTTTGATTTTTCATTATGGAAAGTTGATTGTGCTGCAAAGAACGAATGTCATGCACAAATATGAAACCCAAAGCAAGAATAAAATAAAAAATGATTGGATGAGTATTGAGCCCAAAATTATAATAGTAAGTTGGATAGGATACTTCTAGTATCTTAAAGAGAAATATTTATGGATTTAGAGAAATAATTTTAATAAAACCACAATCATTTGCTTGTTTACTTGCAAGTACAGTGCAACCTTAATGTATCATACTTTGACTAAATGGACTTTGGACACAGTAAACTCCAACACAAACTGTTTAATTTAAATAATATCCAAATGACTTATCCTCTGATTCAAAGGCTTTTGGGAATAATGGATACCCTCAAATCTACTAAAATGGGATTTCCTTCTGAATTGTGTTAAGTAGAATTTAATCCTTTGTAAAATGTTTACAATTATATCATTTATATATATATATATATATATATATATATATATATATATATATATATAGCTAGATCTTTTAAAAAGTGACATATATTGAAACTTTTTGAATAAACTATTTTTGTACTAATTTTAAAGATATGAGTAATCAATAAATTATGAAAAACAATTCTTAAAAGGTTTTAGCTTTAGCGATAGCACTTAGACTTATATACCACAGTGCTTTATAGCTCTTTTTCGAAAGTTTATAATGTCCCCATATTGATCCCAATAATATGAGTTCTCATTTTACCGACATTGGAAGGATGTAAGCTGAGTCCACCTTGAGCCTTCTGTCAGGATCTAACTCCAGGCTGTGGGCAGTGTTTGCCTGCAATAGTGCATTCTAACCACTGTGCCACTAGGGCTATTAAAAAATAAATTATCACATTTAACCAAACCAAAAATTGTTTGAAGATCAGTAAATAAAGTAAATACAAAAGAATACAGAACTAATTCCAATATATTAAGTATCATGAACATGACCAAAACCACTAATATGTCAAATAGAAGCATATTTTGATTGGAAAGCTATGCCAATTTTCTGAATGATAAAACATCCAGAATTTTTATAACAGCCTTTTAAAAACCACTTCTGATTATTACAAAACTGCATCTATAGTGATTACTTTTAAGGCTGAAGCTAAGGTAAGTATCTGAATGGTTCTGTGAGGGGACATAATCTCCCACTATCAAGGCTAAGAAGAGAATGGCCTCATTTCCATTAATACAAACAGGTAGAGGCCTCTGGAGAAGGCCCTTTTCTTAAACTCTGGAGAAATAGATGCTATAATTATGGTTGGTTTTTGTGTTCTGCAATGGATTAATATTTTGACTACATGGCTTTGATTGTACTTACAATAAAGCAACTTTCTGTCATAATTGAAAGCTTCTACATTAAGAATACAGTGTGAGTGAAAGGTTATGATTTATTGCTGTGTATAGAGTAAAATATTTAGCACAAATTAATTCTTACTGTCATTTGTTTTAGAATTATATAATAGGTGGGAGGCACCTAACATATAAACTGGACATGTAGCTCCAGACCTGCAAAAGATCCTATATGTTTTCTCTATAGATTGTCTTTATTTCAAAATATTCTATTATATTCTTTTCTTTGAAGAAAGGCTTCTATTCTAGCCTTTGTTCAAAGTTCCTGCACTTGAGCTAGACAGTGTGTATGCTGTTATTATTGACAAAAATAACATTTTAGATACTCCATTATTTCAAAGCCTATTAAATGAAGTTTATTACATCTTCTCTTCAGTGAAAAGATATGCCTGAATTGTGAATGAGCAACTAAATTCAAACATCAAAGGCACAATACTTCAGCATTTCACTGATTGATCACAAAACATATCTTGAATTCTTCCAATATAGCATTTAGAGCATTTTGGCTAGATTTAGAATATAAAATACAAAACTATTTTTTAAAGCTAATGCTCAAAAATATTTAGTTGATCATGTTTCTCATTAAATATACATGAAACACATTACATAGATATATAATACAGAAGAAATCAAATTGAAGTTCTATGTACAAAATTGAACAACAGAATTAGTTTTTACAACTTCTTTCATTTTTCCTTGATCTTCTATTTGTACCTACCTAAATCATATTGAGATTGTATGAAAGAACATCTCTTTAACATAATAAATGCCTTTGATATTATACAAATAGTAGCAACATTTAAACATAGCAAAAACATTTTTAGACACAGACCAGTACAAATTTAGGTGCATTTACCACTTTTATTTTACTATGCAGAAACATACATTCGCCATGTATTGTGATGAAACTGACAGCATAAAAACATAGGATCCCTTTAAATTGATGTGATAATAAAAATGAAATGTTTTGTAAGTGTTCTGTACGGTTTAAGGCTTAACTCTGACCTAAGTAAGGAACACTGACTAGACTTGCAAAGGAAACATCTTTCTCTGAGAGTGGACAGGACTTGTTTTTGAAAAATCACATTTTCAGATGAACATATGTGAGATGCTAAGGAAAACATACATTTTCTTCAAAATAATCACAATGCAAATTTATAGATTGAGACTTTAGAAAAGTGACGGCAGGATTTCTAACTTTAACAATTCTAAAAATCATTAGCTACTAAGGGTTCCAAATCAGATAGATAAAGCATATTTTATAAGCATTTAAATAAGATTAGAGATTCACCATTGTTTATATAACAAGAATAATAAAACCAAATTATAACAAGTATATGATTCAAGTTATTTGTTGAATAAAGTATGTTATTGGCACATCTAATGTAATAAAACATATATATATAGTACCTGTACAGCTTCTAGTATTGTAGTGTGATCTTGATTTCCCTTAAACAAAACTTTGCACACCCCAAGAAACTGTGTTTAGACTTTCAATAAGAGTAAAGGCATGAGCTGTTTTAGTGTAGCATAATACAATTGTTTTAACTGTTGATGAACGTGCCATTTAGATGTAAGGTCGATTTAAGAAAATAAAAATGCTGCTTTTTTGTAATTTTGTTGTTTCATGCAATTATTAGATTATTAAAGCTGATTCAAATTGCTGTAACTGGGGAATTTCAGCCAGTGTCCTTAATTAGCAATTAAAATCAAAATCTTCCACATTGAAAATTTCTCTGGAGAGATGCAAGTCAGCTGGGTTAGAACCAAGACTCCATATAGGCTCTGATATTCCCACTGATGAAGTTCATAAGAAAGCTACTCTAATCCTGCAGTAGAAAGAGTATAGTTAAATTCTATCAATAATAAATCTAAATAAGAATAAATCTTTAATAATAAAGTCACAAAAAGAATTGAAAATATTTCTATACAAAAGAACTCTTTAGGCTTATGCAATGAGTCATAAAAATAGTTGAGTTCAGATCTCTATTGTCTGAAAATCTATACAATTATATTGATGGGTTTTTTTAATGAGAGCCTTTTTGATGGCAGATCTATATTTATAAAAAATGTAGATGTTAATCAAGATATTCCAGATTAAATTCTGTAATTCATCTGTAATGAAAGGACAACAGCTATATGCACTAGAAAGATTTGATATTTGGGATAACTAACAGAGTAGTTATTACTGGCCATGTAGAAGTCTTGATTCAATGTAAGTTAATAACATAGGTAACATTCCCTATAAAAATAACTGCTATATGTACACTATATAAATACAATATTTGTAATTCCCAAATGTTCTTCTATAAATAATTCCATCAATTTCAGTTGTTCTTCAGGTTCTGCTCATAGTCCAAGACTCATCTTTCTTTGTTCTTATCTTCAACTTCCTCACATATTGCTAAAGCAACTGATTTTTGAAAATGCTAATGTTTCATGCAGTAACACATAATTTATATGGACATAAGGAAAACTTGTTTGAAATTAAAGTTATACTAGCAGTTCAAACAAAATAAAAGCCATCTTTTCTTTTTTACACACAATATTCAGCTTTTGTAGAGTATACAAGTATCACTAAATCTTGCAATAGCAGGTTAGTATGCCAAACATATTCTAGCACATGCATATAGTAACTGCATTTAACACTCCAATGCTAATTTAGCAAGAATTTGTCGGCATGCCTTTATTCAATCACAGCAGCAAAAAATTGCATATTATTGTCTCCTTTTAAGAAACAATCATAAAAATTGCCAGAACTTATTAGGAAACTTAGAAAAATGAAGAATTTAAAAAAAGGTTATTCACAAACAACTTTGCAGTCAAAACTTAAAATACTGGTATTTCAGTTCAACATACTTGCAAGCTTTCTCAGGCAGAATAGTATTTTACGATTAGAGAAAATGCTTTCTTTGCCCACAAACTCTGCATAAGCAATCTTCAGGACTGTCAACTTACAGAGCTACTCCATGGAAAATGCATAGCAACTAGCAAGCAGACACAAGCAAATGGGTTTCTCCTATTTCTCTAACTGGCATTAACAAACAAAAAAAAGGTTCTACTCCATAAAAATCTAAATAGCCAAATCATTTTTTTTTTTGTACAAAACATAGTACAAATGCCAGAAAGAATAAATAGAAAGGATTAATGATGGGTTCAGGGAGAAGGAATGATCTTTGTCACATGCCAGTCTGTGAGTGCCTGGAAAAAATCCAGTCCTCTTACCTGTAGTCAATCCTCCCCATCTTCTGGTGTGATTTCTGTCTCTTTATGTACCACTACTTTGGTCACTGACATGTCAGGGTGCTGCTCTTTGGCCTCTTTAATTGCCTGAGCCAGCGCCTAGCATAAGGAAACCACAGAAGGGCAGAAAGGAAAAGGGGGTGGAACATGCATGATCAGTAGCAAGGTGAAGAGAGATTCATGATTAAATTTACAATTTCCAAATGAAGAAATGTGACTCAAAATAGACATTTTACATTTGAACTGGATTGTAATATATTTTAAAGACCTGCTGACTCTAAAACAGACTTTTAAGTTTATAGAAAATAGATTAATTTGGAGCTAATTTTAGAAGCTTACATGTCATACCTGATCATGGTCAATGTCTGCATCACCCGTTATCACAATTCGTTTTTCAATTCTTGTCTCTGAAATGCCTCCTTTCACTGTCTTAAAGGGAGAAAAAAAAATAACTAAGATCTCAAGATACTGTCAAAGGAAGTTTACTACTTTTTTCCCTCTGGGATATTAGAATGTTTTTGCCTCTATGTTCCATGCTTTCTTTTTAAAGGCAGCTTGCTAAATGCAAAATGGTACTCTGCATTTAAATAATACATATGGTTGATATGCTGTTAATTTTCAGAATACCAAATGCGAAAGTGCACAATATGCATGTGCAATAGGAACAACTTTCTGATCTCAAAGGTAAAAAAACCCTCTCATAATGTTAAATAGAAACTACATCATAAACAACACTTTTTGGAATTTATTGGATAGATAGATCACTGGTCATTTAAAAAGTGATAGTTATCTATTTATGTTGAAGATGCAAAACTCTGAAAAGTGCATTAATGCATATGATTTGGATATATGCCCCAGGAAATTCCATAAGGGTTTAATGTTCTTAACATTGTTAAGGGAGTTAAAACTTAAAAGATGTCAGTGTGTTGTTGAATATTATTCCTAAAATTTGGAATCTGTTTATAAAGAACTTTGGATCAGTTTCTAATTTATTCTTTATGTATTGCATTGTAAAACATTAAAATACATTTTTTAAAAAAAGGCTAAGCCATAAAAAGCATACCTAGTTATGGCTTCTATTCCATGGTTAACAAATAAATGATTACTTCAGTTGTTTCAGTCAGATATTTATATATTTAACAATAAACCTAGGGCTATATTAAATAAAACAAATTTCTGATACACCTACTTTGGTGATATGTGTAGTAGTTGTAGTACTAGTAGTTTCAGAAGTAATAGTCTGTGCACTCATCAGAACTCCTGGTTCAGAGTCAGCACTAGAATCCACCTAAGAAGAAATGATAAATGCATTCAACATTGTAGTTAGTCCTATAAAGTTGGCAAACATTCTACTATGTAGTAGAATTTAAAAAGTTCACTTCTTTCAATAGCCTTTCAATTGTCCACTTGTCTAGGACTGAAAACCAGACAAAAATGACTACTAGTAATATTGTATCCATCTTTTATTCTTTAACCTGTTTATTCATTATGAAAGAACCTTTCCTGTATTAAATATTTTAATGTTATTACACCAACAACTTTTTCAATCAATATTTAAAAATATTTACATCATGAGAGCAAAACTTTTTTCCATTACCAATGATCTGTTGTTTTTTTTTAAAAAAAGATTGGAATTGGTCTTAAACCATTATTAGAAGATTTTTACTCCCAATGAAGTTTAATTTTTTAAATATATGTTGCTCTTGTCACCAATCTGTTAGCTTCAGTGCAAATTTTATTGTTTGTAGAATCTGCCTGTTTTTCCAATCTTTTTATTTTAGTACCTTACCTCAGATGATTCATATGTAATAGTTTTTGTTTCAGTATGGACAACAGGTACTTCTTTCATAGAAATTTCCGATTTCTCTCCACCCGGAGAAGCACTGCCAAAACTGACTGCCTCAGTCTTCACAATGGATGACTGTTCCAATGAAATGTAAACATTGGACACATTAAAACTGTTTGATTTTCTAGTATTCCAGAGTAAAATGTAAATGAATGCTCTTGCATAAAAAGAAATATCTTAAAAATATATAAACTTACACCTAAACAGCATTTTTACCATTATTTATATTAAATTGAGAACATATTTAAATAGCATATATCTTTTTTCATTTAAAACTTAAATTTATTTTGTTGTAGCCCAAATTTACATAAGCTTATTTTCCTTTAAATAGTTAAAACAGGGCTGAAAAGATTACATATACGGCAGTTCTACAATTAGAACATTCTAATAAATCAATTGGGAAGTGTTTTCAGACTTGAAATTAGATAATTTCACAGGTAGTAATTTTTCCATGAAAGATTATACTTCACTCTTTGCTCTAATAAAATATGTTCAAGCATCAGCATTAAGCTATATTAATTAGTCCAAAATGCTTCTTAAAGAGTGCATATGATGCTAAAAAGTAAATAAAAAGAAAAAAATAAATGTAAAAATGATCACTGCAACGAACATCAAGACGCCATGCATGTAAAGAAGCATTGTGTTGCTTCCTGGTTAATTTTTAAAATGTTTAATGTGATCTGCAAAGAGTCCCAGGAGTTAAAGGGGAAAGCAACCTTTTTTTAACATCTGCATGTATACCAGTTGGGAGAAATGGAAGAAAATGAAGCAGCAGATATTACTATGAAAGAGAATTTCTGCATCCTGCCTTGGATGTGCATGCCTTCCAGATGGACTATGTGCTATTTTACATTAAGTTAGACAGTTGTCTGTATTCACACATCAAGGAAAGTCCTGGCTGTACTCGCAACTACAACTTTTCAGGCTGCTAGCCATAACCATATAGTAATCATGTTGCCACATTTAAATCTCATACTAAACCAAATAGTGACAATCAATGAAAAGGACAAGTTTAGCTTGCAAGCCATACAAGTGAAGAACAAACACACATGAAGCTGCCTTAAGAAACAAACTGCTCACAATAACGTTAGATGCATTGCATAACTTCCTTAAAGAAGTATACAGTAGTTTATCTTTTTGTTCAGAATCAGCAAATTAAACGTGTTTAATTACCTCAAAAAGAGGTTTGCTTTCTTGTGTATTCAAAATATGGGCTGATTTACTTTGCTCCTCTTGCAGATCATGAGAAATAGTAGCAGTTTCTTCCTGTTGGGTTGCAGCTTTTTCCTCTTTAGCCCCCTCAGTGATAGTAGAGCCCTCTTTCCCTTTGATGCTAGAAGCCACATGAGATATTGTCTGTGCTGTAGCATCCAGCTGAAGGCCAGCCAATTTAGCAGCATCCTCACTTGCATGCAAACTCATCACATGTTTCTCCTTGACTATTAAAGTTTCCTGCACAACCTTCTTGATGGCTTCCTGCTGTTGCTCCTCTGTTTTCTTTTCCTCATCAGTTTTTGTTTCTGTTTGCTGCAGGAAAGGCAAGTTAATATTAAAAGCTAATGTGTAAAATCTACAATTAAAGACCATCAAACTTGACCAAGGGTTTGTTTTGCATGCTTTTACTTTGTGTGCAGGTGATCTGAATGCTCAGAAATTCCATGTGATTTCTGTTATTAAGGACTAGGGTTCTGAAGAGACCTCAGTTTGAAGGGCAAAATCTGATTTGGATTTACACATGGCATGCTTGGACTACCTATTAAAATATAAAATGCTTCAGAAGTACCTAAAAACCAAATTAGATCATGCTGTAGCATGATCATGTGATCAGGAAAAAGATGCAACTGCCTTAAGATGTACCTGACATGTACATTCACATCCTTCCATGTTCCAAATTATATTCTGCCCTTTAAATCTGGATATCTGCATATCATTAATAAATATGAAGTCCAATTTTATCTTTCATACACTTAAATTCTATCTCAAGAATAACAAACTAACTACTACCTCCCAGTTTGGAATTTCTTCAAGTTTAAATGTACAGTTTTAGGAAGGGAAAATACCCAGCATGTGCATTAATGTTTTCCATGAAGATCCTAAAGATGTGCAAATAATAAAGGAAAACTCAGTGTTGCCATAAAATACTATGACCCATCAAGAGATAACCACTAAAATCTAAAGATGAATCAGATGGCCACCTGTGCCCAGCTATGTGAAGTAGCTGTAACCCCTCCTATGAACTCAGTTGGTTTTCTTGCAGATTCTATTAATGTGAAGATACCAGAACCATCCAAAGTTTTTTCATCGGAGAGTTGTTTTGTCTAAACAGACAGAGAAATATATAGTCATAGGCATATGGACACAGAAAGAAAAACAGACACACACAAAGTTTATGTTAATTGACACAAAGACAAAGGAGAGGAGGAAATGTGGCAGGGTTACAAAGAGAAAATAATGGAAAATAAATTAGCACAAGTCTGTACTGAATGTAAGCAGTAATACAAACAAGCAGTGGTTAGCACTGGTCTGCTGGTCTTGTAAAGCATTATTTTCTCTTCAAAAACAAGCAATAGCAGCATACTACATTTCAGTAAGACCTTTAGTTTAAATGCCTAATATCAGCTTTGTATTGTGTTAATTGACTTAAATCAGGAAGAAATAATAAAAAAGCTGGGTTGGCTGTTGTCAAAATAAGGCCAAGCAGCAAAAAGGACTAAGAGGCAGGGTAGTGCAGAATATTGTCTTAAAAAAGTCATGCTTTGTTAAACTGAGTCAAAGTTGTATGTTACCACTACTCTTGATGCTGATGACTCAGTGACATAGTGAGCAGTAGCAATGGTAAAAGGTGGCTCCCTGCCATGTTTCCTCTCAGGTTTAGTTTTCCAACCAAAAGTCTCTCCTTTTAGTTGTTCACTCTCCAGCAATTTCTCAGCTTTGGTTGTCTGTACACTTCCCAGCGTATCGGGCAACTGCAAATCTTGATCTGCCTTCAGTGTTTTTTTCACATTTTCTTCTTCTGGACTTTGGAGTCGGGAGTCTGCTTCTTTAATTGGTGTCAAGGACTCAGAGACCCTCCTTTTGGCATCAGATAATCTTCTGGCCTTCTCATCAGTTACTGGTTCTAGAATTTCATATTCTGCTACTACAGGAATGATTTTCACGGATTCTGGCATTGCCATTTCTATGTTTTGAAATGATGGCAGTTTTTCTCCCTCTTTTACTTTAGTGGTCATGGTTACAATTTTCCCAGAAACAGTATCATAGGATTTTCCTAAGGTATACATTTTCTGCTTATTGTCATCTTTTGAGAGCAATTCACCTTCCAAGTCCTCAAAGCTCTGTATGTCAGTGATACTGTGTTTTAAAAGCTCGGGTGGGATGTCACCAGTTTTACTGCTCATAGTCATTAATTTGTATGTCACAATGGTTTTCGATTCACCATCGACTACCTCAATGGGTACTTTGTCTACAATAACCCAATCCTCAGTGCCCTATATTTGAAATATAAAAGCTCAATTAGAACAACTAAGAGGTTACTTCTGTCAGGAAACTAAAATATTACACCTTTTAGGTGATTACAATAGCTACCTTATTAACATCCACATTTCTAAAGTCTTTTCATAAGCCAGAAGGCAAGATGAATATTTCAACTTGTGACAACTAAGTTTAATACATAATAAAGCAACGGGGCACCATACTGTCTTAATATTTTACACATTTTCAAAAAAATGCTAGCTAGTGGGTGAAAATCATTTAGTTTTTAATTTTCTTCAACACAAAATACTGCTGTTTTAAGTGCAAAATAGCGCTGTTTGGAGAAATGAAACACTCTCCTAACATCTGAAAATGTAATTTAATACTCCAAACCCAGGTCTGTGAAGTTATGCACTTGAAACAATTTAAAATATTTTGGGAGGTGAATAAAATAAATGGAGGCAAATCTTTCTGCTTACTAAAATATTTCGTACTCTTTAAAATACTGCAAATGTCACAGACCAGTCCTTAATTCTTCACTACATAATGCATTTTATAACTTTATATAAATAATCAATACATTATACTCTGGATATTCAATTGCAAGTATATGCTGAACCATCGATTTCATATACTTCCAAGAATATATATTTAATAGTGCTCCTGAATGACAGCCCATAATGTTACTAATCAAAATTCCTGGTGCAGCTTGTCACTTTCCTCAACATTTAGTTAAGAAAAAGAGATGAAAAGCAGATGATTAGAGACAGAATTACAAGTGAAAGACAGTAACACTGGGATCCCCTCTAATATTCCAGATTTGAGATAGAATAATTGAAAATACTTTCTAAAAGCACCTCAAGGTTCTGCTATTTGTATAATCATATACCTTGTGGAGGTAAGGGTGAATTCTTTTTTTAGCTCATTTTAGCTCCTTCTAGCTCAGTACCTCCTCATTTAAAAATGATTTAAGTTTATAGGGTAGGATCACCTTACAACTGTTATTCCCCTTCTTTTCTGAATGCATATATGGAAATACAGTAGACAATATTGGAAATGTTTATGAGCATTTCTAGTCAGCATGGTATTTTCATTCAGGCCAGAAATGCATCCTCTGAATTCTATACAGGAGTAGGTGAAGGGCATTCACCTTAAATATCCTACCCTACTTCTATATAAACATATTTGTGTACAGACTTGATTCTTGCTGCCATTTCTGAAGATTCTGCCTGCACAATGAAAATTGCACAGATAAGAATGAAGAAGTTCAAGCAATATTTTGATAAGCATGCTTCTTTACCATAAACACATGTGGAAAATATATTTGCTGTAATAGTAGAAGCAGATCCGATTTTTTAAAAAAACGCTACAATGAAATGAATTCTAAAGGCAGTTGATATTGCTTATTATTTTCACTGAGATGTTTAAACATGTATATATGCAGATGTCCAGAGAATAAATGATGAGATTCTAAGCTATGAAAACCTAAAATGCAAAGAAATCTGAAAACAAATCTAAATCAGAAACCTTTGCAATATATTAACCAAGCCTTTAAAAATGCACTGCCAAAAGAAATGCGATGTATTTATCAAATTATCACTTTAACATGTAGCATCTTTCAGTAATAAAAATACAAACTTTCTTTTTACCTGAGAATCAAGAAAGGCCGTGCTTTCCTTCTGTAAAAATATACGTTTTTCAGATTTTTCTTTATCTTCTTTGGTCTAGAGGACAAGATATCTATCATTAAAATCCATAAGAAGGTTGTTGGAGTACAGATTCTTGAAAAACAGGCAGATATGCACTCACCTCGTCAGGCACAAGTGGTTCAATCATAGGGGCTTCTTCATGTCTTGCAGCAAGCCGGACTGGCGATGTTGAAAGTCTCTTTTCCCATTCATTAGTCCCTGAGATATCTGTGGTGGTTTCTAAGAATGTCCGTTTCAGCTCACTTATATTGGTCTGGTGTTTTATCAGATCTTCCTGGGTTTTATCTAGTTCCTGGGTTTGGAAAGGGGAGCGCAGCATATTTTTTTTTTAAAAAAAATTGAATTGACACAAGAAGAAAACCAAATCAATTTTCAAAGTTAATCAGCAAAAAAGCCTTGATGAGATTAGCTCTCACAGCACTAACACAACACTCTTGGCAAACTTGCGTTTTAAAGGAAAGGTGTACAGAAATTCTTGGAACACTTCACACATAACAATGTGGCAAGAGCATTTGCCACTAGGTAGGATTCCTGTTAGAGGTTGCCAGCCAATCCAAACTCCCTGCCAACTGAGCCTATGTTAATATGCTTTCATGAGCATCTGTGCTTTGTACATTGCTCTGTAGGTGGAAAACATTTCCTGGGCACACTTCAATATGCAATGTGTAAAGTAGTCCTCATTTATGTGAGCATCAAATACTTTTTGGGGAGTCATAGTTTGCACACATTCCAGAAAGAGACTGAAAAAAATCTATATACGTATGCAACAGAGTTCTAAAAAACAGTATAACAGAAAATCCTAATCTTAACATCTGATTTGTTAGCAAGTAAAAATGCACGTATCATGCATCATATACAAATTCACACCTTAACCACTATATTTAAAACACACATAGAATACATGCACTAATATATACCCATACCAACCTCTAACATAAGATTACTATGTTTGATATACACATTTTCACCCTGTATGCGCTTAATCAGACTATTCTGAAAAAACTGAAAAAGAAAGGGAAATGTGAGGACCACAATATTCAATGAATGTAAAAATGCTGTTCTAAGCAATGTTTGTAAATATTGTGGGAATATGAATAAACACAAGCAGTTTAGCCATGGAGGACAACATACACACAAAAAAACAAGGAATTCTTTCACTTGCCTGTGCTTTGAGATCACTATCTTCCTCCTGATCTGACTGTTTAGGTAGGAAAAAAACCCAGAAAATATTATTTTACTAATAAAAATCATTTAGTGACTATAATAATCATTATAATGTTTTTAAACAGTTCATACTCATCGAATGAACAACATATATAATAAGTATTGAAAGCTCTCCTGGCATAACCTTCACCCAGGTGCATCTGTTTTAAAAGCTATCTCAAAATGTTTTGAGAGTTGCCAGAATGTATATATAAACAGAGATAACTGAAATTAGTGGAAAACTTTTTCATATAGAAAACTATTTATGCACTGTCATAGGACATACCTCCACATGGCATAGGGCCTGGTTACTTGAGGGAGGGCCTGTCTTGCATAGCATCTGTCTGGCCAATTCAATCCTACAGTGCTTTCATTACTAAGGGGTATCAGCTACTAATGCTAACATTCAGAATATCTAAGGTACATGATACATTCTTTTGACAACAAATTCAGAGCAACGGTACACACCTCTGTGGCAGTGGTTTCACCATCTGCTGCAGTGTCAGTTCTTTCACTGTCAGTCTGTGTTATATAACCAGGTACCAAGAAGAAAGCAAGAATAAGAAATAAACCCAATTTGTAATTAAACAAAATCATAGGTTGAATTGTCAAATCTACATTCTCATGAGTTGCATTTTAAGCATTTTTTAGACAAATGATAATTTAAAAGAATCATAATCCAAAACAACAGATCAGACAGCATTAAGATCAAGGCATACTGTACAAAGTAGTGGCTTTTGTGTTACACAGAATCATTAAATTGTGGAGCTTGAAGGAACACAAGGATCACCTAGAACAATACTCTGCAATGTGCAGGAACACCAATTAAGCCATCCTCGAGATTGGTTAGCCTAACAAAACTTAATCAGAACAAGAAGATAGTTTTCTTTATTTTTTTTAAAGAGAGCCACTGACTTTAATAAGCAACAAAATGTGAAAATTGCACTTCTCTATAATTTTGGGGAGCCCTATACTTTTAATGAGACATTATAAAAATATTGTTCTATAATTTGTTCATTTAGAGAAGGAAAATCTATAAACACATCTATTATAACAGTCCCTTGACTTTTATCCCTTTATTTGCACAAATGTTTTTTCTCACATGGTTTTAAGGCTGTCTGCATTAGCAAAGTTTTAACAAACACACAAACAGAACGAATTTAGCTATATCTTAAACAGAATTAACATTTCTCAACATCGAAATATGATCTAGCTGCAAGAGAATCCTTTGTTATGTAAATCTGTTTTCTATCAGCGTTTATAAAACATAGCAATGTATTTTAAGTAACATTTAGAAAGTACAAATGATCAAAGTAAACAAAGCACAGCATTATCCATCCAGCATTGATACATCCTAATATGTATCATGAATACTTTAATTTTATTAATACTGTCTCAAAATGAACAACAAAGAGATTTTTAAAAAATACTTTAAAATAAATGTATAAAACATTGAATGGGGTTATTATGAAAAAAGTCAAGTTATATAATGATCCAAAGGATTGAAATATGTTTTAAAATATTCATTTAAGACAGAGTGGTTATTTTGTATAAGTAGATAGATAAATAACATGCTGTCCAAATGTTTTGGACTACAACTACACAATCCCTTGCCATGCTGTTTGGGACATATAGGAACTGAAAGCCTATACAACCGGACAGTGTCAGGTCGTCTACTTCTACAGTTGTTCAGGATCTCTTCATGGGCAAATGATGTAATATATTAAACATGCAATTGGATTAATTCATCTTTTGGGATTGCAATAACAATCACTAAATTGACGGAACAGTTTACCTACAGGTAGTCTTTGCTTAATCACTATTCATTCAGTGATTGTTCAAAGTTAAAATGTCACTGAACAAATGGTAGTTACGACTGGTCCTCAAAGTTGCAGCTGTTGCAGCATTCCCACAGTCATGTGGTTAAAAGTTGGGCATTTGGCAGCCTGCCTGCGTTTACAATTGCTATGTGAGCTTCAACCCGCTCCACCCATTTGCATGCCATTTTGGTTGTCGTGTAATCTGCCATCCTTGCTGACCGTCACCATCTTCTTCCTCCCACTGCTGACAAGACACCCCTGGCCAAGGCAGCTGCTGGGCCTTCACTCTTATGTGAGGCCTCCATGAACAGCAGCATTTTTAGGTTAATTCTCTTGTTATTTCGATGCAAGAAAAAGAAGCATCACATTCATTATATTTACAGGAAGTCCTAGCTTAATGACCAGTTGAGTAAAGACCATTCGGTTATGACTCCCTATCCTCAAGGTTACGACTGCCACATCTTCCCTTGAAATCCTATGATTGCATTTCAGATGCTTGGCAACCAACTTGCATTTATGACTGGTTGCAATGTCTTCCTGTCACATGACTGCAATTTGTTACTCTTTTGGCTGGCTTCCAGCAAAACTCACATCCAACTCTGGTGTCATTGGCACCATAGGTTCTTACGACAACATTTGTCCTTTTTTTTTTGGCAACACCAGTTCTTCCACATTTTTGCAGCTACTCTGCAAACTGAGTTTCTGCCCAGTCAGATATTTTATTTATTTATTTTATTTTATTTTATTTTATTTCCAATTTATATACCGCCCTTCTCCCCGAGGACTCAGGGCGGTGTACAGCCAGAATTAAGAACATGAAATACAAATATTAAAAAACATTAAAATATATATAAATTTGGCCCAAAAATTAAAAATCACAAACCAATTTAAAACTTTTAAAAATTTCTTCTTAAGCCAGCCCGGCTTGCTGGAAAAAGTGGGTTTTAAGGGCACAGCGGAAGGTACTAAGGTCTTGGATTCTCCTTATCTCTGGGGGCAACTGATTCCAGAGGGTAGGTGCCCCCACAGAGAAGGCTCTCTCCCTGGCTCTCTCCCAATCAGCCTACATTGTTTGGCTGATGGCACCCTGAGGAGGCCCTTTCTGTGGGAGCGCACGGGTCGATGGGAGGTCATCGGTAGCAGCAGGCGGTCTCGAAGATAGCTAGGCCCTATGCCATGGAGCGCTTTAAAGGTGATAACCAACACCTTGAAGCGCACCCGGAAGACCACCGGGAGCCAGTGCAGCTCGCGCAGGAGCGGTGTTACATGGGAGCGCCATGCTGCTCCCGTCACTACCCCCGCTGCTGCGTTCTGGACCAGTTGGAGCCTCCGGGTGCCCTTTTATTTTATTTTATTTACTTTTCCAATGAATTGTGTTAACTGGGATCCATTTAGCCTTTCCCCAGAAGATGAGATGCACTGAATCATGTCTTTGTAATATATAAGCTAACAATTATGCCAGTGTGTTTTAGCCACACTTATCCAGAAGGGTGATCTGACTGTATTCTACCCTGCTCATAATCCCCATGTATATTTCAACTACCTATATCTGTTTCTTTTGTCATTCCTCTGCCAACCCTATGTTGGTGGTGATTTCTTCTTTATCTTTTTAGTATCTCATGTTTCAGCAATATTCTTATCCAGTATTGAATCCTTCCAAGTTCGAAAGCAGAATCTAGTCTATCAAGAGCAATTAATCCCAAAGGATCACTGCTTCCTTATCAATTTCTTCAGATGTTTTATCATTTCCAAAGTTGTCCATGCATTCAAGTGTTTTTAAATCTTCATACAGTTTAAATGGTTGTATACCAGCTGTTGTTATGTAAAAGAAGATGGATGTAATCTACATTTTTTGTTGCTTTGCTGCTATAGTTTTAACATTAGCCTGTCTTCGTTGCAATTCACTTTGTTCATTCCAGAAACTGATTATTTGATTTGCAGAAGCAACTAGATTGCATTTGGTTTGATTATTACATCTGTTTAGTGATGTGCTCAGCCAGGTGTTTTTGTGTCACCCTAAAATGTTCACTATATTTGTGCAACGTTAATCTGTTCCAAAATATCCCTGGGAAATGCTTTCTTTCCGCCATGGAAGGAATCATTTCTCTACAGTAACCCAGTTTCTTCTTACCACAAGCCTTTATATCAGTGATGGCTAACCTTTTCCTGACCAAGTGCCCAAAGTGTGTGTGCGAATGTGCTCACTTGCCCGATAACCTCCAAAATGCAATGCGCGGGCAGGCCCCCCGCACATGTCTTGACCCTGTGCATGCATGCACGGCACCCTGCACGTGCCATGCCCTCGCACGTGTGGCACAGATCCAAAGACTAGCTGGCCGGCGGGAGCTGTGCGTGCATGCGTGGCAGAGCTGAACTGGGGCGACAGCTTGCGTGCCATCAGAGACGGCACTGCGTGCTACCTCTGGCACGCGTGCCACAGGTTCGCCATCACAGCTTTATATCATTCCTCATCTTTACTCAAGATCTCCTTGTAGTATGAATATGACCTAGAAAGTTATGTTTTTGGATCTTGTTTTCTTATGTTATTGAATATATGCTACAATTCATAGCACAATATTCCATTTTACAGGAAATCTCAGGATTTTACACCACTGAACTGACACTAATTCCTACTAGCCTATCATTCTTACTAGAAGGCTTGCTGTACTACAAGCTGCATAGGGAATCCTCTCTTAGGTCTTTATAGTTTTTCTATGTTTACTTGAATGAAAGCCCTTCACACTTTATAAAATTAAGTGAGCTCCAGCTTTTTATGCAGATAAAATTGTGTCATTTTGCTATTCCCTTCTCTTTTACTCAGAATTGAAAAAGCAACCTTCTAATATTTTTTTATCCATTGTGTTCAAGATACCAATTTACCATTATCCAGGCTATTGGTTCTATTGCCAAAATACATTCCACAACACATCAGTATTTGGGTAGTCAAATGCATAAGGATACATTTTGGGGAATACCAGCAGACATTACAATTTTTTCTTAGCAGACGTATGAGCCTCACATCAAAGTAAGTCTGCTAGTTACCCATACATAGTGAATACACAAAAGAACAGGTTGCTTACACATAATTATGGATTTTCAAAAGTTCATCAGTGCACTCCTATGAACCTCTTCCATTCCCCTAGCAAATGTTTGTCCTGTCATGGTACCTTAAGTGCCATGCTGTTCCTTATGGAACTGAAAAGAGACTGGAAGTTGTATTCAGAAGCTTGGCAACATAGGGCTCACTTCTACCAAACATACACCTTAGCTACAGAGTTCCTAGTAGTGCCTTTGTGCTGGCAAATCATTCACATGTATAAATATAGAAATGGCCGCTCAAAAGTATATAACCAGAATTATAATCAGCCTATTCCTTTTTTGGCCATACTGCTTTGGTTGGATTATATCTACGTTCACATGTGTTTGACAAGGAGAAACACTACATCACCAACACCAGTTCTTGCATTATTTGCTTTGTTAAAGACTAGGATAGCACTGAAACACCAAGGAGTGCAGGAACATTAGCAGCTACAAAGTACATTCTGGGATGCGGGGGACAGGGGGACGGGACATTATCAGTTTACCATTTATTTATTTATTTATTTTATTTTAATTTACAATATTTTATGACCAGCCAAGTCCAGAATGATTTCCTAAGCAATTATTTGTAAACAAACTAAGCTCCATTTTCAATGGAAGCCATTTTGTAAGATGATCAATGAAATAATCTCAAATCCAAATGTGCTTATTGACATGAAATGTTACCTTACTTTACCGAGAACAGTTGTTAAAGTTGTTTTAAACAAAATTTGCACTGATATATTTAGTATGGTGATACTTATAACAACCAGTGTGAATGTTGGAATACAACTCCCTTAATTCTTATTAAAAGGAAGATGCAGTCAAATGTATCTACAGCATAAAGAATGAAGACAGCAGTTTCAAAGAAATAATATAAAAGTATGTCACAATTTCATTAAAATAACTAAATCAATGTATTAATTTTGGGGCACACATTCCATTCAGTGATTGTACAAAATAAAAATTAATGGTAAAACTAAAATGGTGCAGTTACTTGGGAATAAGTCCTATTAAATAGTGATATATTACAGTCAGCAATTAATTTGTTATGGTAACAATTAAAGAATTTCTCCAGTCCAAAATAATACCTGCCTGTTAATTAGTATGGCACTTGAACGGTTTAACATTAAGGTTATTGTATGGCTCCTAAATAAATTGCAAGGAACGTATGGCATACCTATGCAGTGCATCTTGATCTTTTTTTCTCTATGTGACATCATATCACTCTGACCCTGCATTTCCTGTCTTGTCTTTTCACCAACTATAACTCTAGAGACAACTCACAAATTGCATCTAGAGTTATAGCTATTGCTAGCTAAAATTCTAGATTGCTCAAGCATTTTTACATCAGAGAACATTTTCAAATCCAAAACATTTACTTATTATTTAGATGTATTACTTAGAATGGAGTTTCTTCTGCTCTTGCAAAGAATTTTACTGCACAATGCTTTATGTATCTATTCAGAAGTAAACCCTATTCAATTCAATGGGCTGTACTCCCAAGCAAATGGATTCAAGACATGGAGGTAATGCAGAACTCTAAAGTGAGATTTTAAGCAGCTTTAAGGGACTTTTTCCCAAAGAAAATAATTACTAGATCATTGACCAACTTGAAGTCTGTTGGAACGACTGCTGGAATTTAAAAGCAGACATTTTTCCTAGCTTATTATATTCATAACTGCTGTGTTTTGTTTTGCTGATGTAATGCAGACATGCCAAGATTCAAAAGAAAATGTCATGCAATATGTCCAAACAAGAGAAGCACCCTGGATTAGGCACAAATCGGTGTAATTTAGCAGACAATTGTTAGTCCTGGTCTAATCACAAGCTTGGTTCATATATAACAACATGATTTGGAGTTACAATATTGATACCTTTCAACCCAGGATTGCCAACTAGTTTGTTGATCTGAAACTCGTGCTTTGGCATACACAGAACCCTGAATTGGCAAATATTAAGGCACATTATAATTTCTATACAAACAAAATAATTAATTGAATTGGTATAAAGTTTAAAGCAAGCATAAGTCTAACTGCATAGTTCCAAATCATGATTTGACACTACATCTGAACCAAGCCAATCTAAAGCAAACAAACTAGGAAACTCATCCTATCCCATATCCCAGCTACATTTTATTTAGAATAAATCTTCATTTCACTTACTGGCAAGCAAGTTTGCTTCGTAATGAATTATAAAATATGCTTTTAAATTATTATTTGGGTTGATTGGTAATTCTAATTAAACAATTTGCAAAATGCAAATGTTTCTATTCAAAAACTTATGATTTACTTAAAAGATGCTTATAAAGTATTTGCATCTTATACATTTGACACTATTCACTAATGGTACAACTCAGTTTTCAAATTTTATGTTATAGAAGAAAAAAATAGTTTGGATGTAGGAGACAGTATTTTGTCCTAACTAGGCTTCATTAATCCTATAAAAGATTTATCGCTAGACTAGAATACTTCTTTGTTAAACCTGGTTAAGCATGTTCTTCACTTTGATTATAACTCTTATTAAAATGCTCGAAGCAAATAAATAATTCAGACAATAAGGGAAGTACAAAATAGAAACACCCTCCAGTTGTGCTCTACTCCTGTGCCTGCATCCATGCAGCTTTGTGGGCTGAAGTAAATGTTAGACACAATTTCCCAGCTATTCTTCAATAGATGGGATTATTCCAAGAAATTCAGATTGGATCTATGGTATTCTCATTTTCAGTACACAAATTTTTTTGACATTAAATCCCTTTTAAGAATAAAAGGTAATTTAGAACTTCATTTTCCTATTTAGCTACAGTGTTATAAATTTTGAGCTGGATGCAAGTTCATATAAAAACTATTTACTTTCAAGGAGCAATAAACAAGCAGAATGCTTTCTCATTTTACAACTGAAAATCCACAACTCAGGATTATATTTCAAATACTATTTGAAATTTTCATTTCAAAGCAATTTGTAAAAGTTATCGTCTTATACACTTTGTGTTGTGCCTAACCCTGGGCTCAAGCTACTCTCTCAACACAACAAAAAATTTAAAAAAAATCTGAACATATCGGCACAGACAAAAATGAGGTTCTGAAAGGACTACTGGTGCAGCATTCTAACACTGTTTAGGACTGAAACAATGAACACAAAAAAAGTGTGTTCTGTGTCGAGGTACACACCTCTTCGTCTGAACTGTCACTCAGGTCATTTTCAAGTGAAGCAGTCAAGGAGGCCGCCTTGGGCTCCAGGTAGCAGAGGCACATAGCCAAGGGAAAGGAAAGAGTGAGAGCATAGGGTACAGAGAAAGAAGCAGAAAGCAAAAAGAAAAAGATGAAAAGGAAACAAGGCACGAGGGAAGGTGAGCGAATGGGAAGGAAATGCTGCACACTTTGTGGCAGGATGTTTGTTTCAGACAGGTTTGGAAAGGATAAGTAGCCATCATCATCCAGGAGAGAAGGGAATGATTCTGGAAGTTGCAAGGAGAACGAAAATAATGTTCCACCTTTTCTGGCATTTTGCTTATAATTAAATGCCATGTCATGTTCAATAGAATAAGCTCTTCCTTTTCTGCTCAAGTTCAAATCGGTTTCATCGTGCTTTTGAACGGTGTTTTTTAATGGTTCACCATCTAATAATTTTTTACTATTCTCCTTACACCTCCTCCTATGGAGTTCTGTTGAAGATGCAAAGGGACCAGTTGATGACGATGACAAGGAGGTTAATGAATCAATGCCAGGCAAAAGTGGCTGATGAAAGAAAAGACAGCAAGTGCAAGAGCAAAAGGACAAAAAGAAAATTATAATTGGTTAATTTCCTCTGTATATAAAAGTTAATTGCATAAAGTTAAAAGAACAAGTTTAATTGAATTAATTATACCAATTTCCATGCTGTATTCTATGAGGGCAGCCAGATACAAAATCAACTCATCTGTTAAAATACATTATTAATTATCTTATTTTAAAAAGTCCAACATACACATTTAATTGCTACATTAAGTTTGCAAACTGGAAATTCTCAAATTGAAAGGCTTAAAATCACCCTGCAGAGCAATGAAACTATATAGGCTATATGCTTCTTTCTGGTATTAACATCTACACCATTCCCTTTTTAGCTCATTGTACCTTCCTTTTTAGCATTCCAAAGATATAATCTGGCATTTCAAAAAAAGAGCAGGAATGCTAGTCGGTCATTCTCTGAATCCACAACTGTAAATCTGTGGTTCAGCACTCATTCTGCCATCATTTTCCCAATTTGATCATCACCGTAAAATGGATAAGGAAACTGAAGAGGACAATGATGCGAACAAGTGAAAGGGCAAGTAATACTTCACAATTTCAAGTCTATTTTCCAAAAAAGGATTTCTTTCTCTGAGTCTTTAACCAGAAATTCCTGCAATTCCCCACGATTTTTGGAGAAGACTATGATATAAAACTTTGCATTACAAATTTCTATAAGATTCTGAACACAGAAGAGTGTGTCTATAGTAATTCCATATATTGCTATAATGAAAACAAGAGCAACTCCTCCCTCTATTACAAATTTAACTAAGATCTCTTACTAGAGTTGGACCACTAATTACAAAAAGAGAGAGCAAAAATTGTTTAGGATTAACAAAATAAAAACCTAAGGAAGTAAGTCTTCTTCCATGGCCTACTGACAACCACCCAAGTTTACCTTTACAGAATGTTGAATATTAGAGAAAAATGAATAAATGGAGGTTAAGAATGAATTGTCGTGTCCTGGATAGCTAACTCAAACAAAAGAGCTTAGACTGCAAAAATTCCCTTTAGTTCTAAACAAGATCTACCTGAAAAATAATAAGCCATCTTTATAAAAACGAATTTACATCAAAGTTTATCTTATTGCAATAGATCTGCTTCCAGATAAGTCTGTATAGGAATACAGGATATTTTCTTTTACCTGAATGCCAGAATTTTCCTACTAATAAGCTGTATTCACCTGTGTCTGAATCTCTCAAATTATGCTTAAGTTCAGGCCCGTACAGTATCTTACATAAAAGTTGTATGAGGACCCAGATTGTTAGGGGGCAATATGCTATTTAGTATACTGTCTTTGGTGTAAGCCGCCTAGAGTCCTTGGAGAGTGGGCGGCATAGAAATATGACTAATAAATAAATAAATAAATAAATAAGTTGTTAATGGAAGATAATATTCACCGCTAGCATAATAATCATTGCTAGCAGTAGAACAGGAATTCTATATCAACATAGCATTTTGTACTTGCTCCTTGTATACTGACAATTATTTTAATTCCTAATTTATTTTTCTGAAAAAGCAGCTGGATAATAAAGAACAAATATTTTCAAAATTTCCATCCATGAGGAATGCTTTTGGTCTACTGATTAAGGCACCAGACTGAAAACCAGGAGATCATGAATTTTACTCCCACCTTAGTCAAGAAAGCCAGTTGGCTGATCTTGGAACGGTCATTCTCAGCTCAGCCCAGCCATCCCAGCCCACATGGTTAATGTTGTGGGGGAAATAGGAGGAGGAAGGTGGGTTGGATAAGTACGCTGCCTTAAGTCATTTGTTCAAAATAATTATGACGGAATACAAATAAATAAATAAATAAAAAGAAACTTTGTGTGTTATATGCATTATAGAGAATTTCAAGAGGCCTTCTCAACCAGGACTGTCAATGCTGACCATAACATCTAGTTGATTAATAAATAGTAGCAAATATTTTCTGTCTCTTTGTTGCTGTATCGTTTAGATTTATTCCTCTTGGATTGTCCTTGAATTATGGAGGTTACTAACCTTGTCATAAATTATCTTTGTAACTAATTTATAAATGGAATTCAAAGTTTGGGTTAGCAATTTAAAAATTCTAAATGACTTGGGACTTGGCTAGTGGGAAAATTAATTTAATTTTTGATAAAAACCTGACAGTCTTAGGGTAAGCTGCTCCATTTGATTACAAGGTACTGATCTAAGAAATATGCACAAACATAGTCTCAGTAAAAAAATACTGTCTATAACAACATCCTTCCCAAGAAATTAGGTTTACTTTGTTCACATGTATATTCCATAGAGTAGAAATTTCAGCAAATGCTTTACTGTATTAGCATTACCACTGCTAGATTTTTTTTCCTGGTTTTTGCTGCTTTGAGTACTGTGAACATTTGTACTGACTGATTATTGTTGTTAATGATTTTATATTTTTCAAATCATGAGAACAATTCCTTTGCAGAAGACAAAAGTTAGAAACTAAATATTTAAGTAATCCTACACATCCAATACTTCACACAGTGTTATGGGAGGTTAGATATAAATTGATCAAACGGATTTTCAGATATTTCAGAATGTCCATTGCAACTGATCTAATTAAAAATCCCTAACATCTTCCAATAAAATTCTAGAACTCCTATTGATAGAACAAACAAATAGTATGAAGAAATAATGCTCACTGACTGCAATGCATATAGTATTTCTGAAGTAAGCTGTGCATCCTGTTAAAGATCTGGTGATCTCCAGATGTTGCAATTAGAGTATACATCACTATTGATTATTTTGGCTAGGTCTGCTAAGAGTTGGTTCAACAATATTTGGAAGTTAAACATTGTCCATGCTGTTGTAATTCTACTTCTACATTTCTGGACACCAGTTTCAGAAGGAGAGAGACTGAAACCAGTGAGCAGGTGTGGGCCTTGTACAAAGTTTACATATGTTTTGATACAGTCACACTTGAAGATATTTGCAGTTATGTAAAACCAATCATAGACTGGGTCCTAAAATGGAAGATACAAATCCCTATTTATATAGGAAAATATTTATTTTGTAGTTTCTTACTACTTATCTTGGTATATTTTTCTCTGAACCACTTTTCTCGTATTATTCAATCCCTTAATAACGTAGACATAATTACTACATTGTGGTATCTATTTATTGCAACTTAAACACTTTTATTTAAAGTTCTATATTCCAACACAATTCTAATAGGAATTTTAAAAATCAAAAATAAACATCATGGTTGACAAAAATTTGAATATACATTTGAAAAAATGTAATCCCAGAATATACCATATTTCCTGCATATTATCACTTAGTGAACTTTAATTGCCAAAAAAAATTAAAGAGCATTCATTTGGACATGAAAAGCATTGTTATGGCAAGACAGTTCTTGCAAGGTAGTTTACAACTATAAATGTCACTCTTCATTTTTAGCCAATAATCCAGTGTTTCTTATTTTGGTAATTTTAAGTTGTCTGGACTTCAACCCCCAGAATTCTCCATCAATATATCTTAAAGAGGCTAAGGTTGAGAAACACTGCTATAATTGAATGACAAATGCAACATTAAATATTTTTTTTCTGCTTATTTTAATAATTTCTTATATTTAGAGATGAAAAGTCCTTTTAGCAACTGAGTACGTTTTTAAAAAGTGTGAATACCTACATTTTGAGATGATATTGCAACATGAGCCTATCTACTATGTAATAACCAAAGTAATTACTGTGATAATGTATACCTATCCAGCAGTCTATCCCACCTAGGCACTTGAATTTAACTTCTTCAATTCTCAGCTTTTACCTATGATGATTGGGAATTCTGGGAGTTCCAGTTTGGAAGAACAACATTTTGTGGGTAAGTCTGTCCTGTGCCAACACCGCACTCACAAAAGATGCCTATTTCAAGCTGCGTTGTTGTAGCGAAAGTGTATTCCAACTATATCTGGGGTGTGCTGCAAAACTACTGAAAAACAATGGTTGTGAGAGAAATATGTGACAAGCAGGATTCTGGAAAAGTAAACCTGTATACCTTTATAAAAGCATGTTGAAACACAGTGGGTACTTAACGCCTTAAATTATTGGACTCTAATGTCTAAACTGGGTGGACTACATCCCAAACCTTGATAAACCTTGATTTTATTGTACTAAGTGATACAGGTATATTGAGCCCTATGCCACTATATATTTATCTGTAAAATATATAAGGATCTGGGATTAAAGCTAGTCTTTCTAGTCATATTTTCTAAAGGTCTACCCTTAGGCAACTTTTTTGATAATAGGAATTAACATGATCTAGAGTTAAAAGTAATTTCACATGAATTATGACAATAACATAGAAGTAGTATGTCAAAACGTGCAATGATATGCTTACTAGTTTAATTTATACTAGAAATACTGATTCTAAGATCAGGAAAAAAGGAAGTTAGCACTCTTATAATAACAAATAATTCAAAGGCAATTCAAAAAGGCAAATAAAATGCAGCAATCCATGAAAAGAGTTATTTACATTGTAGAGCATGTTCATCTTCAAAAGTGACACATTCTTTATATTGCCACTGTTCATCTTACAATTGTCAGAAAAAAGCTACTGTATAGAATCACAAATTATTGATTACTGAACACTGGTGATTTGCCACTACTTTCTTATGCTTTCTGTCACCAAAATTGTGTGGTATTTCTAATACAGCTTAGTTGATAGAATTAAAATAAAAACATAAAACTATACCTTAGTATCGTGCCGTATTGCTGAAACTGGAGTGCCTTCTTCTTCTTTCTTTTTTAGCTGTTCATCATCTTTCTCTTCTTCTGCTTTCTTCTCTGGAGTCACAGTAGTTATCAAGTTTGTTTGAGAGATGCCCTTTGTTGTAGCGTACTGGCCAGTACCAACCTCTGCAGCAGACATAGAATCCTTCATGTACATTTCATGGTTTTCATTCACTGATGCTAAAAGCAAATGCAATGTGAAGAGGTGAAATCTTAAACAGATGATTCATTATGCTAAGTAAAACTACATTATGGATTATTTATTTAATTCTGTGCATGCCTACCCCAAAAGTAAATCTCATTAAATTCAATGGGATTTATGCCCAGGCCAGTGAGCACAGGCTTACAGCATTAAGCAGTCTGCCAGTGAAATGAAAGCCTCATGTTTCTAAAACATGCAGAAACATAAATACTAAATACCTATATAAAACAATAAAATTAACATGCATGTATGTGTATGTATATGCATATACAGATATTGTATTAAAATCTGATATATATTCACATGCATGCAGATACTTTTAAACCCAGAATCTTCTTTTCTAAAGTTTGTCCTAGGATAATTTGAAAATAATGAAATTATCTGAGCACAATGCACTACACTTAAGTAAAGAACCTAAGTGATAATACAGGCGATTAATATATACTGCTTGAAAGTAATTTCTTAAAAAATAGTTAATTAGCAACCAGAGGTAATTAATCACAGTTATCTCAAAATGCAAGATACTAATGAGCTTGACATATAGACCCAAAGTACCGGTATCACTAATTCACTGGAAAGAAAAAAAGATTTTGAAGAGTAGGTTAAAAAGTAATTTTTCAGAAGGGGGTGGGGGTGGGGGGGAAGCCATTTCACCAAGCCTTTATTATACCACCTTGAATCACACTAAATATTCAAGGCATACATTAGGGCTGTACAAAACAAAGAGATATTTTACAATAGGCAGGAGCAATTATAAAACAGAATTTCTGTATATGCTGCCAAATGTTGCCAAATAGTTCTTCCAAATACTTTGCACATATAAATACAACAGCATCATTTTCTAATCATATACAAGCAGTCTTCAATTTACAACCACAATTGGGACAAGAATGGCCAATTGGCTAAGCAAAATGGTTCAGTGAAACACATTCTATTTTATGACCTTTTCTGCTGCAGTTGTTAAGTGCATCACTGCAGTTGTTAAGTGACTCATACAGTCATTAAGCAAATCTGGCCTTCCCCATTGACTTCTTGTCAAAAGCCGGCTGGGAAGGCAGAAAATGAGGACCGTGTGAAGCAGAGATGCTACAACCAACATAAATAGTTGCCAAGCACCTGAATTTTGATTGTTTGAAAGTAGAACATTCCAGCCACCATTTTTATTTACTTGTTCTATGAGAGTGCATCCTTCCTAAGTTTTTCTCTGACCATTAAGGTCCTGGGGGCTTCTGTCTCTTCTGATCACATTGCAATAAATGAAGGGCTGCTAAAGAGTGCAAACTCATTCCTAGCAAGTTTATTAGTTTGATGCAGAAGTATGTGGAATTCCAAGGAAAGTTACAGTTCCAGAATCATTAATGAAGCTCTAATGTCTTTTTTTGTCTTTTTAACACAACACATCTGCCTTTCAAAGGAAGAATAATCATGCTTGGAAGGGACATGATTTCTAAGCAAAGCTTTGACCCTCAGTCTGCAACAGAGTGGAAGAGAGAACTGAAATTGTAAGAATGGGGAAAGGATTTTCTAAGCATCAGGCTGGAAGGGGAAAAAAGTAGATGAGCCACAACTGTTATCTTGGTGCAGCTATACGCTGAGAGACAATGCCAAGAGTAACTTCTAACCTGCTAGTGTTTTGCAAAATGCAGCATTTTAACATGAATAAGAAAGAAAGAATACACTTTCTTTCAGTGAATAAGAGTGGGTACCTTCAAAATAAAACTCAGATTTCAGGAATTATGTCAAAACAAGCAAATTCATCCTTTCCTTTTAATACATAGATTATTTTATTGGACCTTTTGTTGCTGATTTCCAAAGTTGTAAGTTTTATCATTGTTTTATTACAATGACTGAACTTTAATTATTAATATGGCATATTTATTTCTGGCTCAACAGTCACATAAATTCAATTTTAGGGAATCATGTACTTGCAGTTGGAAATCCCTTATAGTACAGAAACCCAAATTACTACATTTAGTAATAAAAAAGAGATGTAATGAGTCATTCAGATGACTCAATATTTTCAGCATGATGTCTGTTCCATTTCTGCTAAGTCCTTGTCTAAATGAGGTAGCTACTCTTTATTTACTTGTCATCAGGGCAGTATATATATATCAATTTGTAAGAGACCTTGAATAATAATTTGGATGGTATGTAATAAACAATAGTACCAGATTTTCCCTCTATTGGTCATTTGTAGGATGTATGCTAACTACTAGTTTATTATCTTGGCCAAAAATATTTTTAAAATGCAAAGGTTAAGAACAGATAAACTGATCATTTTTGGTTTTCCGTGACTTGTCCTTTTTCCACATGAAGTTTTATATTACCTTTGAGGTTTTTTATAAAAATCCACAAGAAAATCTGCACCAATTGAACTATTTCTTTTAACATACATTTGTAGCCATATTTGCTTAATTTGTATCAACTATTTTCTCTAATGCAATGCCTTTTTAATATTCATTCAAATATGGTAATTTATAAAAGAACGTATATGTAGCTTAGAGCTGAACCGTGGAGTCCTTAGTGCTATTTTAGCATGATTGTTTGCTTGCAGATGTTTCATTACCCAACTAAATAACATCATCAGTGCTAGTGAGTATGATATTTGTCTCTGTTTATATACAGATAGTCCTCGACTTTCAACCACAATTGAGCCCAAAAGTTCTGTTGCTAAGCAAGGCAGTCATTAAATGAGTTGTGCCTCTTTGTACAATCTTTTTTGCCATAGCTGTTAAGCTAATTTCTGCAGTTAAAGGAATTATGCAGTCATTAAGTGAATCTGGCTCTTCCATTGACTTTGCTTCTCGAAAGCTGTCTGGAGAGATTACAAATGGTGGTCATATGACCCCAAGATATAAACTATAACTATCATAAACACATACAAGTTGCCAAACATCCAAATTTTGATCACATGACCATGGGAATGCTGCAACAGTTAAGCTTGAAAAAGTCATAATTCAGTGCAATTGTAACTTGAATGGTCACTAAATGAACAGTTGTACGTCGAGGACTACGTGTACAGTACCGTTTCCCCCAAAATAAGACATCCCCTGATAATAAGCCCAATCGGGCTTTTGAGCGCATGGCAATAAGGCCAAGCGCTTATTTCAGGGTTCCAAAAAATATAAGACAGGGTCTTATTTTTGGGGAAACATAGTAGTTTGTCTTGCCAGAGCTGGTGGATGTTTCATTTTCTCCTTGATAGTTTCTTGCTTGTTTCTTTGTCTGGTGTTAATCCCCGTTTATCTGGATACTAGCGATGGAGAGAAAGTATTCATATTTTCTTATTTTGTTTCCTTCTTTTGGATGGTATGTAAATGTGGTTTATCTATATGTATCTATCAATGGTTGATTTGTCTGAATGCCAAACTTTCAATAATACCTTAGGGTTTTGGCTTTTGTAGACATCTGAATAATGCAAACTCCACCGACACTGGCAGGGCAAGCTACTGTATATAAGCATGGAGCAAACCTGATGATGTTACCTAGTCGGACAATGAAACATCAGCAACCAAATATCTAAGCTCAAAGAGCACCAATGACTCCACAGAGTGATTTATTTTTGTGAACACTGGAACTATATCATAAAGTTTGGAAAAACACAAATAACCATAGCATGACTAGATTCAGTTTGCATATTGTGTCAGTCATTACAAGCGGAGCGCATTTACCATCCTAGCAATGATAGTTATAGCGCCCTTAAAAAAGCACAGAAAGGGTAGAAATTCAGTAGCAGGAAGAATAGCTAAAGAAATAAATGTGGAGGACTGAAGTTTTAGTCTTCCAGAGCTTATGAACTGCCACATGAATAAGCCAGAAGAAAGCAAAAGGGAAGTTTAATGGGCATAAATGACATATCATGCACATACTTACATGTGTAATCCAAAGAAGCTCGGGGGGGACATGAGATTACAAGAAACTTGAATCTGTCCTCTAATGCAATGTTTTATTTAAAAAGGAAAATGAGACAAAGCTCCAAATAAGGATTATTAAGAATATCTTACCCCCGTCTAGGCTGCGAGACATTGTGTAGCGTTTACTTGAGGAACGTTCAAAGTAAGGTGCAGGGCGATCAATCAGTGCACTAGCTCTTCTTGTCTGGGCTTGTGTCCTTCCACTGTAGCGAAACTTAGAACCTAGTGTGAGGAATTTTTTTGGAGGAGCTTCTGGTAGCAAGAGTCTAGAATATATCACACATGATAAACATTACAAATGACTGGTTTTCTAAACTGAAATAAAAGATTGTGTTTTTAAAACTATTTTCTCCCATTCTTGAATTGAAGGGATGTGATATTTAGTATCACTTTCAGCAATATAAAAAATGCAGTGTATAGCAAAAACTATTGTCGACGAGCAATTATAAAATGGTGTATGAAATATTTCAAGCTTTAATGTGTTTGTCAGATGGAGTTATTCCTTTAATGAACACAGCAATACTTGCAAAGAGAATAAGTGAGTTTTTTTTTAAACTACAATAATATATTCTAATCAGCCTGGATTTGTTCCAGATATATAAGAAACAACATCAGACATATTCTGAGTGTAAAGGTAAAAGTAAAGGGAGTCCCTGCGGATTTTTATTCTGCTAGTCGTTGCTGACTATAGGGGACAGTGCTCATCTCCATTTCAAGACCAGAATAATAATATTCTAAGGGTACTGAAAACTTTTTGTTTGTTTGTTTGTTTGAAATGGACTGGACTGTAAATTGCATTATCATGCCATTTGTTTAACATGGATTCCAGAGTGAATTATATCTTCTTACAGCCTAGTCCAGTGATGGCTAACCCTTTTGCTGTCGCATGCCAAAAGTGGGGGGAGCACAGGGGGGCTTGCTCGTGTGTGCCCACACCCATAATTCAATGCCCCCCTGTACTCCTGTGCATGCGCGTGTGATCCCCCTGCACTCTCCTGCTTTTGGTATGCAACGGCAAAAAGGTTACTGGTGGGCCCGGTAGGCCCGTTTTTCACCCTTCCCAGGTTTCAGAGGCTTTCTTAGAGCCTGGGGAGGGTGAAAGCTGCCGCTCCCCACCCCCAGAGGCCCTTTGGAGGTTGGGAACAGCTCGTTTCCCAACTTCCGGTGGGCCAGCAAGGCCCAAAAATTAGCTGGCTGGCAAGCGCATGCGCACTGCAGTGAGCTAGGGCAACACTTGCGTGCCCACAGATATGGCTCCACGTGCCACCTGTGGCATGCATGCCATAGGTTCGCCATCACGGGCCTAGTCTATTCTCAAATGGTCTGCATAAATATATATTTTTGTTGATACCAACAGAAACTAATGGTTATAAGAGATCATGAAATAATAAATAACGAGCTGAAGATCTGGAATAAATACAGGGAAAAAAAATAAGCCCTAATTTGTCCCCTCTTGCTTTACTTTTATTTCGATGAAGACAAAAACTATTTAAAAATTCAGTCAGTGCAGAATTAATAATTTGTGTAGCTTGCAAGATTACATTTATATAGTACTAAAACTCTCTTTCCTATAACCTTTAACTGGGTAAAACAATGCACGCGTTTGAACCAAGATACCACCAATGGGTTAATTTACAGAATGTGTCCAAAATCTGTGGGATCCAGATTAAGGGATGAACTAAGGCTTCCTTAAATGGTATTAGGAACAAACCCTCCTGCAGCAATGTATTAATGACTGCCTGGACTCACTTGCAAATCACCCTCCTGGAGGCTTTTACTAAGAAAGGGCAGGAATTTAATAAACAAGAAGCTGCACTAACAGACCCACAATCCCGTCCACTTCAACAGAGTCAAACTGCTCCTAGATAACTCTCTCTCCATGGATGAGGAATCTGCTCCATGCTTGGATTCCAACTGTGAACAAACTCACGCAATTTTATCCATTAGGTGCTTGACTAATTCCCCCACATGGTCCTGTAAATGTTCTTATGAGCCCTCCTTCCCTAGGGAGGGACTGGGTGACTTTAAACAGAATTACTGGGCGGCAGTTTGCAGATATAATAAGAGCAGACAAAGGCTTGCATTTTGCTGTTCTTACTGCCACGAGATAGGCATTAATGATCTGTGATCAGACATATTTGTTTGTTTTCCTCCAGTGGTTCTTTAGCAGTCTCTTGGCCCTTTTCAACACCCTCAATTCCTCCATGAATCACAGGAATCGGGTCCGTAGTGTGCTTATTTTCCCAGATCAGGCAATGGATGACCTGGGATAGGTCCATGGCCTTCAAATCCATGAATTTGTTATCATGTTTTTTACTGGAAAGATTGTTTGATTTCTTCAATAGAAGAATGGCTCACGAAGTTGTGAGAGTATGCTTTAATGCCTAGAATAACTCCGTATCTGAGGTACAGTTGGTTCAAACTGAAAAGCATTCCTGGAGTGTAACTTATATCAAAAACAGAACAGATGTTTACTAACATGGCTTTCAACTATAGTTTTGAGAATTTATTAACATTTTGTGAAGAATATGTCTGGTGTCTATTATATTTTTAAGTGCTAAGCTGTGATCAGAGAATGTTATATCTGTTTGTATACCTTTGATCAAACATTGTGACAAACTGTGAAATAATCCGTTAAAAAGGACTATGTACCTGAAAAATGTATGATGTTCAACACATACTTTCCATAGACGTTTTGCAGCACGATGATTTGGTAATTTAAATCCGATTGTACTTTCAAATTGTTCAAACTAGAAAAAAAAAATCCAGGTTCACAGACATATCAACATATTTTGTTTTAACCTTGATCAAATAAAGCATCTTTACTGTATGCTTCTTCCTTTCACTTTTAACGATCTTAATCTTTACATCAATCAAATACTGTAGGTTTTGATTTCTCTTCATTTCTGTTTAGTCCTATTACACAAAATTCTTCAAGGCTTTAACATGCCTCTTTTGTAAATCCAGTTAGAAAAAAATGTTCTCTTGATTTGTCATTTGTGTTTTCCTTTTCAAATTTTAAAACATCAACCAATTTCTTTTATAAATCCAATGAAACATCATTTTATTTGATAAGATAGAGATGATATATCTTTCATTTCTTCAATAACAATTTAACCTTGTTTCTGTTTAGAAATTGCTTATTGCTCCAACATAAACTGTCTCTTTAAAGAAAGTTAGAAGTTTAGCTTTCTAGACATATGAAACATGACAAAGCTCTAATGCAGTTTTGTGTTTAAAATGGTCTCCCCACCCCACTTTGTATGTAATATTTGAGTATTTTTTATAGTTAGTAAAATATCAAAAGTAGAAAAAGTGTTTTCTTTCTTTAGGCTGAAAAAAACTGAAATTAGTTTTAGTTTAGTTTAGTTTTAGTTTTATTAAATTTATATACCACCCTTCTACCGAAGGACTCAGGGCGGTGTACAGCCAGAATAAAAAACCAACAGTATAAAAGTTAAAAATCAATTTAAAATTATTAAATAGTTTGGCCCATAATCTAAAATAACATAAAATAACCCATTAAAAATAATATTTTAGGCCAGCCCTGCTTGATGGAATAATAGTGTTTTAAGGGCGCGGCGAAAGGTATGAAGGTCGGGAATCCGACGAATCTCCGGGGGCAGCTCGTTCCAGAGGGTAGGTGCCCCCACAGAGAAGGCTCTCCCCCTGGGGGTCACCAATCGACACTGTCTAACCGAGGGCACCCTGAGGAGACCCTTTCTGTGGGAACGTACTGGTCGGTGGGAGGCTATCGGAGGCAGAAGGCGGTCTCGTAAGTTGAATTGGGGATTCTCTTAATATAAATTATGATAAAGATTAATGAGTAAACTAAGCAAATATTATTCCCCACAGCAAGGAGAAATAGATGGTCAAATTGATTCTTCTATCTAAAGAAGAGAATATATTTAACCTTGTTTCTGTGTAGAAATTTCTTCCAGATTTTGTGTTTGCAATAAAAAAAAAAAACTTTGATTTTATTTTTGCTAATTAAATAATTGTAATTACCGTATTTTTCGGAGTATAAGATGCACTTTTTCTCCCCCTAAAAGAGGGTGGAAATGTTGGTGCGTCTTATACACTGAATACAGCCATTTTTGCTGTAACGGGGACAATTTTGCCCTCCCCCAGCTCTCAGGACCACTCTGCAGGCTTCCCAAACCCTCTGCACGCCCCGTTTTTCACAAAAATGGGGATGTTTTTGCCCTCCCCCAGCCCCCAGAAGCACTCTGCAGGGCTTTGCCCATTTTTGGGCAAAAATGGGCAAAAACAGGGTGCGCAGAGGGTTTGGGAGGTCTGCAGAGTGTTCCTGGGGGCTGGAGGAGGGCAAAAACGAACCCATTTTTACAAAAAACGGGGCACGCAGAGGATTTGGAAGCCCTGCAGAGTGCTCCTGGGGGCCGGGGAGGGCAAAAATCTTTTTTTTTTCTTACTTACTCTTCTTACTTTTCTAAATCTTGGTGTGTCTTATACACTGGTGCATTTATACTCCGAACAATATGGTTACAGAAATTACAGAAATGGTTAGTATATACTGTTGTGTAAAAGTAAAAAATTGAGGTTGTAATGTTATCTTCTACAGTGCTAAAGAGAGTTGGAAGTCGGTGCCTTTTTCTTTCGTTTCTCCTCTTTCTTTATATATATTTTTCTTTTCCCTCCCTCTCTTCCTAGTTTTCTATTACTTTTTTCGAATTATTCTTTGTATTTTATATTTTGATAAACTAATAAAAATGTGAAACAAGAGAAACATGACAAGCAATTTCATTCAATTTTACTTACTTCCCCTGGTCGAATTTTGATGTAGAAGTTATTCCTCTTATATGAAATTTTGAGAACCTTAGGCCAAGCAAATCTGTTTATTCTGAGTCTGTCTCGATAAATCAAGAGACCACTTGCACAAACACCTAACATGATTTCAACTCCTTCAGAATCCTGAAAAAAGGTTGGACAATATTTTTTAATCTAACATTAATTCCAAGGGTCATTTATCAGCTATGATATTTCATTTCACATTTTTTCATAATTTTAAGAAAGCATATAAAATTATTCCTACAATCATGGAGTGTTAGAAAAACACAATTCACTAAAATGTTATACAATTCTTGGTATTTATGTTCATCAGCTAGATAGAATTAAAGTTTATTAACATCATATGAGACTGTGTAAATTAAATATCACATTCTTAATTCAGCGTGTAGTCAAAACATATAGAGAATTCCCAGAGAAAATAAAATTTCTCTGTTTAATGAAGAAATCATAATTTGTTTATATAGTGAACGCTATGTATGAAACTCTTCTTAGGGGAAAAAAGCTAATTACTAAACATATAATAATATGTAGTAACAAATATTTAAATTAAAAGTAATTGTTGAAGTAACTTGCTTTCCTGCTTCCTTCCAAGTGCTACTTCCTTTGGGTTATTGGCTAATAAATTACTGTATACTTGGAAGTGAGCGGACAGAAACTGTTATTTAAATATCCCTGCAAAAAAAAAAATACAATATACTGTAGTTCTTATGTTTAATTATGTCTTTAGACTATCATGTAGGCCTCAATGATCCCAACTTTGATGTTCATACATTGTTTAGAAAGAAGTAATTATATTACTTTCAGAATTCTTTTGATAGCTGAAGTGGCCAAAATTTTTGCTGGAAAGTTATTTGCCCAAAAATGCTTCTGTAACTTATTTGTTAAAGACAATTAACAGCAGATGAAAGTTAAGATTGTTTTTCTCTCTTAATTTATGCATTTGCCTGCAAATTGTCTGAAGACCTTTTGAAATCTATTATGCACCTGGATCATTTTAGAAAATATTTTATTCAGAATGATACTGGAACAGTGATATGATCCAAAACTTTTAAAGTTCTTCTTCAATTATAAATTGACAAAAAATAGCCAGTTTGGTCTAGTAGTTAAGGCAGCAGGCTAGAACCCAGAGACTGCAGGTTCTAATCCTGTTTTAGGCATGGAAGTTGGCTGTGATGACCTAGATTGTTGGGGGCAATATGCTGACTCTTTAAACCAATTAAAGAGTGCTGTAAAGCACCAAGAAGCAGTATATAATTGTAAGTGCTATTGTTATTGCTAAATCAATCAGATTTCTCATTCAAGGTACAAAAGACAAAGCTCAATAACACTATTTTAAAGTGCAAAATACAATATAAGTATTTAGGTAGTGGTTAATATTGGTGGAAAAATAGAAGGAAGGGAAAGAATGTGTTACCAAAACTTGTTTTTATGATTTTTAGCTTAGAATTTATTAGTAATTATTGTTTTTCTTTGTTTATGGTATAATTATTCTTGTTTTGAGTTCTGTTTAAATAATCTGTCAAACCGCATGTAAGACTCATTATGCAAAGAGCCAGCTCCCTGAAGAAATTAGTAATACTGAAAAAGGTAGAAGGAAAGAGAAGATAACTAAAAGCAAGGTGAATGGACACAATTACAGTGGTAATAAGTAGACCAGTAGCAAATTTTAAGGGCCAAACTGAGACAGGACACCTAAGAGAAAGTCTATCTATGATTGCTAAGAACTGTCTGTGACTTATACAGAAACTGAATTATTAGACTGTTGAACACAATATGTACCTTGGCATGATGTAGATCTACTCCATACATAGACAGTTTTTTGGCATTTTCCAGAAAGTGCATCTCTGCTTCTGCAGGTGTCATTCCCCTAAAGTTAATCAAAATGAAAAAAAAAAACCCCACATAAGAACACTTACACATAAGTGAAAGTAAAGTTGTTTCATGCGAAAAAAATATTTTCTTCAAAACTGTAGGTTCTCCATGCATGCCTGTGCATATGCCAAATTTGAGGAGTTGGCACTTTTGCTAAAGCTATGCAATTCGTTGTATCAAAAGGATTTGCTTTAAGTGGAGGTATTAAGGCAGACTGTTTTGGTTTTTAAAGCTAAGGCACCTGAATGACTAGCGTCACGACAACTTACACAGCAAAGCAGACCAGGACGTTCCACAGGCCCATTATTTATAAACATAGTTACCCTCTGCATGTCTTACCTATGGCTTTTATGAAGCTCTATTACTTTATCTTCCAGTTCTTTAGTATGATTTGGTGCAAAGCGGAATTCACTGACATAGTCACTCCCATATTCATCAGGATCATAATCTCCCAGCTCTGACTGAACTGTATAGGAGCCTAATAGTGCAAGTGTGACAAAAGAACATGGCAATCGTCCAGACACAATGTCATCTCGCAGCTGCAAGCAGAGATAATACCTGCAACAAATTTATATTTTAAAAAGTGTATTAACATTTCTCTATTTAAACAGAAGCATTAAAAAATTTATACTGGTTCATAAGCAAATACACGATTTATATAAAACACATTGCTATTTTCAATAGTGGACATAAAAAGCAGCAAGAAGAAATAGGGCGGGGGGGGGAGAACGGAAGCACTTCATACCCCATGGATACATACACATAATCTGGAAACTAAAATAATTGCCCTGTATTCAAAAATAAGCACAATTGCTGAAATGCTGTTTGAAACAACAGCTTTATTTGTTATACCAAGCACAGCAAGATGCAGTAAGTGACAATTTCCATTTTTTTAGTTATTATTAACTAAATGAATAATTGTTTGCAAACGATTTCATCTATTGTCAACATTAATCTATTCTGAATTTATTCAATTAAATCTTTTTGAGAATTTTTGCAGTAAAGAGTTCTCCATTAGAAAAGTGTAGGTAATGAAAGAGTGATAGAGCCAGTGGTTAAGGCACCAGGCTAGAAGCGAGGAGAATGTGAGTTCTAATCCAGCCTTACGGATTAGAAACTCAGTTTGGTGATCTCGGGCCAATCTCTTTCAACCCAAATCAGGCTGGACTATTAGATATGTTTGTTGCCTTGAGTTACATATAAAAATAATAAAGGTGGGATATAAATAAATAAAATAATGAAACTTACCATAAGCTCTTTAACATATCTTCCAATAATTCCCCATGTAAAGGGTTAAAAACAAACAAGTTGGGTTTCTATATGCACTACACTTGGAAGCACTCATTGCCAAGAAATCTGGGAATTGTATTTTTTAAAAATATATATGGGATTAGGAAAAAGAGAAATCTATACTTTAAACATCTTATAGTGGTAATCAAGCCTCAAAAACTGAGCTGTGTGATTCCTGAAGTCTGCAATAAGGACAAATTTGAGTGACTCTGATAAGCTCCTAGAAGTGAGGCTAAATTTGAACCTCATTCAGGAGTGAATGTTAGAGGAAGTAACAACATTTTAATGACAGCTTTTCCAATACTTATCAGCTCAATAACAGAGTTGTTGAAGTCATATATTCCAACCACTTGCTCAGTCAGGAAACCTTATACCTCAGTGATTTAAATCAGCTGACCTTATGACAACAATTTGTTATTAAGCAAATTATGGTCATAATGATTTTTTAGAAATAATTTCTGTTCAGTGATAATGCATAAACTACCTTGTAATATCTTCAGAAAGTTGGGCAGGATCTGGAGGGTAGAATTTAACATTGAACGAGAAATGCCAAGCACCACCTAAAATAAAACAAAGTATTAGTGGGATTCTCTATCTGCTACACTCGCTATAATTTATTTACTGAGGTAGATAGTGTTATTACTTTCTCCTGTTCCTTTAAAATTCTCAAGAGCTATTTCCATTATATTTCTGAGGGTTTTATTCAGCAACCATTAACATTTGAAGTTTCCATAAAACAATGTAGGCATGGATATTAGGTAATAGTTAAATAATGAAATAAGTATCGAAATAACCTCATGGATAAGTAGGCATTCAACAGAGCTTCAAAATCTGCATCCATAATCCAGTGAAACACACAACTATATATATAAAACTCATCCATCAGCACCTTTATGAGTGCTACTTTAGCATAAATGAAATTATACAAAGAAAAAGTAAAGAAAAAGAGCGGATGTTATTGGGCTTACTTATTGATAGGGTTAAGAATGATTTGTATAGCATAAGAAGTGGTTTAAATGTTTACATTTCATGTAGTGCTTTTTAACAGTTTCAATTTGCAAACCATTTCCTACTTTTTTCTTGGTCTGGCCTTTCTTATTTGTGATCTAATGACTTCCAAGTAAGATTTTCATAATAAAGTCTATGTGAAATGTTCCTTGAAGGCAGTCTAAAAGCTTCAAATGATATGGCTGGAATCCAGTGATTATTTTATAAAGAACTCTTTTCTACCTTGAAAGCACTCAATAGTATAAAATCAGAATAGGCTAACATTATTCATAAATAATGTTAGCCTATATGAAATAAATTCTGAGCTTTTAAAGGTTTCTCCTCTGACTCATTAAAGTACAAAAATTGAGCCAAATTGGCCATAATGTCTATAATATGGAATGGATAAACAAGGTACTGCAAAGTACAAAAATTGAACCAAATTGGTCACAATGTCTATAATATAGAATAGTCACTAAGTGATGGTAGTTCCTTCACTGCATTTTAAAAAGCAATAGTTATTTTATTCCAGCAAGATTGCAAAAGTCAAATTTTGCGCAAAAGTTAGACTGCTATTTGTAAGCATTGCTGAAATGCTTGAAACTGGCTTCTTAAAACCAAGTATCTTGTACTTTAGAAGCACTGGTGGTTTTTGGATGCTGACCTAGATGGTTTTATGTATTCTTATGCATGGGTAGAGAAAGGGTAGAAAGGGTAGTTTGAATGGCAACAAGCACTGTTTTACCAATTACAAAATACAGCATGTCAGCTTTGTTTTGTTTAAGGCTGTTGTATGAGCTCTGGATTTTATGCTGAAAGTACTCCTCTGACAGCATCAATCAGGAGGTCTTTTAATCACATTTTAATACTTTGCTGCACTCTAGTTTAACTGTACATGCAGTGATGGATATAGATGTTGAAAGTAAGTCAGGTTCTATTATTAAAGCCTTGTGTCACAGATTCCTTTAGCTATATACAAATTCAGTGGGCTCCTGACCCCCTTCCCCCCAAAAAAGGCTCAAACTAGCCTCCTTGGCCTCTAGGCAACCCACACACAAGCAGATCCAAAGGGTAGTAGTCCCAGTTCCTTTCCACACTCTTCCTAGGTCTCCCCACTGCTCCCAATATTAGTAGTAGACTATTCCTGCTCTCAGGTTCAGGCTGCTTCCAATTCTCTATTTTCTATTTTCAGAGTCACAGAAATTATCTTCCTTCCCATAATATGACACAAACCATTCCACAACAACACCCACCATATCCAGCTGATTTCTGCTCTGCTTTTATAGCTGCTGGGCCACCAGGGCCAGGTCTTAAAAGGGGCAGAGCACTATCAGCCCAGGTGCTAGCCAATTTTCAGACAGCCTACTCTCTTACACCTTGGTATGCTTCATGGAAGAGGCTTTATGGAAATTCTGAAAGTCCAACATATATTATTTTCTGTCTACAAAGTTTCCATCCTTTAAACTAGGCCTATGCTGCCCACCAAGCAATCTTATGTGACTTGTCAGCATTTTTTAAAAAAATTAATAAACTCATAAGGTTTTTATACATCTGCAAAAGGTGTTAAGGTTGCATAGGAGGAGTCTCTGAAGCCTCTGTCACGCCAACAAAATAATTACACTATTTATCACAGAAAATTTTTCTTTATAGAAATCTTAACATTTTAAAAGCATCTCTAGTTTCATCAGGCAATAAATAAGCCTGTATGAAAACAGAAACTTTATTTTAATTTTCGATAGATAATGCTTATGTCAGTTTTGGAAGACAGTTCCTAACTGCCACATATTTTAGCCTGGGAAATGGGGAGGAGGGTTTTGTTGGAGCGGTAGAAAATTAGTCATAACAACATTCCATATTCAAGGACACTTTTGCCCGCATCTGCCTGGAGATTGTATCCAGTTGAATGTGAAGAGTTGGTTGGATTATGTGATGAACTTGTGGATGTGGGGCAGTTAGCTGGATGGAGAAAACCTGGAAGCTTTCAGATTCAGGTTTTCCCAGATGTGACAACATGACATCTCTAATAAATTGAAACTTTGAGGAACCTCAGGCCTCGGAGTTTTATTTTGTTGTAGGTGTTCCTTGGAACCCTGCAAAATACACTTGTTTATGCATATTGCACCAATGGAGACAGATCAAGATGATAAATATTTATCCACGGAGGCCTCAAAAGTTGAACATAACTAACTTACTGAGATAAACACTGATGCTTGTATCTGTACAGTAGTCAAACATAGAAAACGCTGTTACTTCTTTCACTTGATCACCTAGATATTATTCTGTTTAAAATTATTTTACATTCATAAATAAAATCTTAAACCACAAGTATTAATGGCAGGGTAACTGTATGTTTAACGTCCCCTGTTTAATCTTAATAGATCATGTTCACAAATAACAATGTTTAGATGGAAAGTAAAAGAAAAAAAACTGAAAGTCTCTTTAGAAGTACTCTTTACTTTACTTTGGAAGTGAAGTAAAGTCTCTTTAGAAGAGAAGTCTCTTTAGTGGTACAATTCAACCTTTCTGATGAAAATTGTTTAATTGGCTTCTAGATGATAACTTTAAATGACTAATGGACTTTGATGAAAATTGGTTTCAAAATTGAGAACCAAGTTAAATATCTGGGCTTTCCTCAGACTACATGAATTGTATATTGCTTCAGAATAATTATGTTAAATTATGAAATGAAAATAGAAAGGATTTGTTGAAGTGGAACAAATTTATCATTAGTGCATAGTAATTAATGAATTACCTAGGATGTTAATTTTATTTCAGACAATACTGGTACTGATTGATAAACCATTTAAACAATGGCAAAAAGCTATTTCTAAGTTTGTTGCATGGCAAGAGAAAATACCAAGAATTAAATATAAATCGTTCAAGACACTAAAAAAGATAATTTTTTTAGGTTTGATGGACAAAGAGCTTGAAAAAATGAGACTTTGTTATTATACTGCGTATAACAGCAGCAAGACTTTTGTATGCAAGACCACGCTGTCAGGTTTATTATTTATTATTTTATTTTTTATTTTTGGATTTATATACTGCCCTACTCCCGAAGGACTCAGGGCAGTGAACAGCCAAAAAGATAAAATACACAAACTACAAAATTTAAAAGACAATATAAAAACCCATTAAATAATTTGGCCCAAAACAAATTAAAACACCCCTAATGTTTTAAAACAAATTTAAAATTTACAATTAAAAGGGAAGTTAGACCAGCCTAGCCTGTTGAAATAAAAAGGTCTTGAGGGCATGGCGGAAGGTGCGTAAATCCGGGATCCTCCGTATATCTGGGGGAAGCTCATTCCAGATAGCAGGTGCCCCCACAGAGAAGGCTCCCCCCCGGGGGCTGCCAGTCGACACTGTTTGGCCGATGGCACCCTGAGAAGCCCCTCTCTATGTGAGCGTACTGGCCGGTGAGAGGTTACTGGTGGCAGAAGGCGGTCCCATAAGTACCCAGGTCCTAAGCCATGGAGCACTCTAAAGGTGGTAACCAAAACCTTGAAGCGCACTCGGAAGACCACCAGGAGCCAGTGCAGCTCACGCAGGATAGGTGTTACATGGGAACGCCATGTCACTCCCATAACCACCCGCACGGCCGCACTCTGAGCCACTTGGAGCCTCCGGGTGCTCCTCAAGGGGAGCCCCATGTAGAGAGCATTACAGTAGTCCAGGCAGGAAGTGACGAGGGCATGAGTGACCGTGCATAAGGAGTCCCAATCCAGAAAGGGACACAACTGGCGGATCCGGCAGACCTGATAGAAAGTCCTCCCGGCCACAAATTAGGTTAGGATCTAATGCTTCTCTTCTCCCCGGCCACACTCCATCCAATCTTTCCTCAGCTCAGGAGATTGCAAATGGTGATCATGCAATTGTGGGGGCACTTGGCAACTGGCTGTGTGAACAGGTTGCCAAGCACCAGATTACAAGCACATGACCGCAGGGATGCTGGGATGACCAGAACTCTGAGGACTGGACATAAATGCTATTTGTTCATCTCCATTTTAACTTCATTGAACAAATAGCTGTAGATTGAAGACTACCTATATTAATTTGTTAACATTTCCTTTGCACGATAGTGAAAAGAACAATCACATTTTTGGCATTAAAAAAACTGTTTCCAAATAAAGAAACACAAAGGTAGGGTTAAATAACATATTAAGTGCATATACTGTAAAGATATATCAACAACACATTGTTTGTGCATATACTGTAAAGATATATCAACAACACTATATATAACTTTATTTCGACACAAGTTCCTACACATAGCAGCATAAGTGTTATGCTACTATTTTTTTTGCAACAAAAATAAATTTTACAGCACCTTAAAAATTGTGTTATTTATATTATATAGGTAGTCCTCACTTAATGAATACAATTGGGACTGGCAGTTTGTCACTAAGCAAAACATGGTTATTAAAATGAAACATCACATGATCACGCTGAATTCACATCATTTTTTGCTGCTGTCATTAACCCACAGTCCTTAAATGCAACATCACATGACTGCAATCTGTGACTTACTGCAAAGCTTCTCCAGACTTTCCTTGTCAGATGCTGGCTATGAAGCTCACAAATGACAATCATGTGACTGTAAAGACACTGTGACAGTCAAAATTTGAGGACCAGTAGTAAAACCACTTTTTCAATGCCATGATCAGTTTGAATGGTTGTTAAACAGGACAACTGTTAATTGAGGGCTACTGTATAAACTTCCAGAAATGGGACATGATCCAGAAAACCCAGCATAATATTCTCTGTAGAACTTAATATAGTATAGAGGTTTTTCATATTGTAGTTCTTTTCTCAGCTACCACCATCATATATGCACAATACTGTACTAACCTTGTATAGTAGGGATTTAGGCTAATAATAAAATCTCATATTAAGTATGTTATGCAAAGTTTTAAAAATATTCCTAGTTATCTAAATGGCACATGGCTTGGTTACTTGTGGTTCTTATTGTTTTCGATAGTATCTGCTCAGATAGTTTGATTTTGTGTAGTTTGTGCTCCTTCAATTAAATACTGTCATCTGCCAGAACCCTAGAAACACATCCCTGTAACAGTGTCTGCCTTCTGGAATGAAGTTCCCTCCACCGATCCGAAATAGTTTTCACTCTGCTGTTGTTTCGAAGAGTTATGGCAACCAGGCTTTTCTCCCAGGACTTTGGGAATGAGGGGAATGAGACCCCTTGCTTCATTGCCCTTGCCATCTTTTATCTTTATCGTTAGCATTTTACTGATTTGAGTTGTTGAGAGTTGGGCAGCATACAGGTTTAATACATTATCACCATCACCTTCATTATTACTGAATTATTATTAAACGGCATTTTTAAAACTATAGAATCTACCTCTGATAAATGACTGACCAAAACTTACTTCGGATCTGCTTTTTAATTTCCTTAGCTGGATCCAACCAATTCTGAAAAGAAACATTTTAAATTTTTAAATTAGGTGTGCAAACATTTTGATAAATCATGTTAAATAACAAGTACAATATTAAAACTAAATTAATATGAAACACTTTACAAACTGAGTCAGTGTGGAGCAGGCAAGCCTATTTAAATGTTTCAATTGAATGGTAAGACCCTGAAGTGCTTAATTACTTTGGTCAAACCATTTTATGGACTTAACAGAGAACAAATCTAAGACTGACATGTCTCCAATTCATATAACATTAAGGAAGCTTCAGTTTTCTTAATTTCGGCTTCTTATCTATAATCTAGATATAGTGATTAATACTTTTAGTATTCAAATTATTTTTATAATTACTACAAACCAAGTTGATGGATATATACCAGTAATAAAAGTGCATTGTAACACCTGAAATGCACTAAAATACCTATAAATAAAAGTAGAATGACTGTGGCAAAAGAAGAGATAGTACCAATAGTAATAGGTGCCATGAGTGCAATTCAAAAAAACATCTGGAACAGCACTTAAACACCATTGGCATTGACAAAATTATCATCAGTCAATTGCAAAAGGCAGCTTTATTTGGAACAGTTTACATCTCACACAATAAGAAAACACTACCTGCATATCCCAGGTCCTTGGAAAAGATTTGATAGATAGATATCAAATCTATTGTGGCTGATGGCACAACCAATCTAGTTCGGAGTTTCTGAGTTTAACTACTATAATAAAAGCAGTTGCGTATTTAATCAAATATTGCTTGCAAGAAGTTTGGGCATCTGTAAATGTATCAGTTTCCCTGAAAATAAGACATCCCCTGATAATAAACCCAATCAGGCTTTTGAGCTCATGCACGAAAATAAGCCCTCCCCGAAAATATTTAACAGCATGCGCAGCCGGTCCCAACCCTCTGGTTAGGGTTAGGGAGACAGAGTGGAAATCAGGTTAGACTACAAGAGGAGCCTCATCTTGCTCCACGTGCCCCAAAATAATAAGACCTCCCCAAAAATAAGGCCAAGCGCTTATTTTGGGGTTTAAAAAAAAAATAAGACAGGGTCTTATTTTCAGGGAAACACGGTATTTCAGGTATTTTTTTCTTTTCTTAAGCTCCCTCATAAATATTTCAATAATGAATGTTAGGACCAACTTAGAAGAATTATCAAAGTAATGGGAATTTTGAGGGGGAAAAGTAAAAAAAAAAAAAAAAAAAAAGATGAATGAGCTGTTACATTAATATTGTATTAATCAGTAACTGTCTGGAAGACTATATACCTTTTTAAAAAATTTCACCCATCTTCAAGAACATCAAATAGGACACTAAATATGTTCTTCTTAAGTCTCAAAAATATCAAAATCAGATGCAATAATTGCTTTGAATATTTCAGAAAGTATTACTTAAATTGTTATAGGAGTTCAGCTATAATTATTGTTAAGCAAAGCACTGGTCTCATTCTACAGCTGCTTATTCTTGGATTAAATATATTTGACCCCATGCCATCTCATGATTTCTTGTAATAAATGATTAATTTTACCTTCTGATTTTCCATATCTCTGTAAGTGAGTCCAAAATAATCTTTTTCCAAGAGGTTCAGGTGCTCACATACTTTGTCAAAAAGAATCTGGCCCTTTGAGCGCTTCTACAGACAGGGGGGAAAAAATCAGAATGAGTTTCAAACTATCTTATCCTTGAACATCCTGCACTTTAAAAAAAATAATGTTGCATAGAACAAGAACTCATTAAGCAATATTAGGCTTAATATACTTTTATTTATTCCAGGGACCAAACTTATTTCTCATTTGGTGGGGTGTATATTTATAATATAAATCACTTCGAGTTATCCCAATTCAAGATGCTGATACACTGCAACAATATTATGAAAGTATCTTTATTTTTTCATTTCATTTCTGAAAATGCAATTGAAGTAGTATTATGTGTTTACTCCTTAAAACTAGTTTCTAAGTTAAATGTTTCATTAAATCATGCTGCTATACACTTTAATATATTCTTCATAGAAAAATACAATTATGTCCTACACTGCTGGTACACATATTAACTTTATTAACTTTCCCAATTGTCTGCATCCTCTCATATTTGCTCTGATCTTTCTAAGAATCTAATTCAGTAGGCAGAAATTAAAATTATTTTCAAGAACTTACAGTAAGTATGAGAATACAATATAATGTAATAATTCAACAAGAATATGTTTATGAATTTTCCACGCTTAATTTACCTGACTTTGAGTAACATCTATTAAGTAAATATCCAGTTACTGACAACAAATAGGTATCATCTCTCCTTTTTACAATATATTGTAAAAAAGAGGTATCAGCTGTTGTTAAGACCTGCCTCTAAAGCCTCTTTTAATTTTTAACTAGCTCTTCTGCTTTTACTTCATCCGATTTTATTTTCAACTTTTAGTTTTCTTCTGCTGGAGATCTCCATTTTTATTATTTTTACTTCAGACTGATATTTTTATTATCTCTGCCATTTGTCCAGCTGCAAAGCTTATCCAACAAAGAAATGAGGACTTAAAAAACAAAAATAGCAATACCATAGCAATAGCATTTTAGGCTTATATATACTCCTCTGCAGTGGTTTACAGCACTCCCTTCTACATGTACATTTACAGCACTCCCTTTTACATTTACAATGTAGAAGCATTATTTGTGCATTGCTCCCAACAGTCTGGGTCCTCATTTTACAGACCCCAGAAGGATGGAACTCTGAGTTCCAAAGGGCAGGAGCCATGGCAGAAAAGGCTCTTCATCTTCCTTAACTGGCTCTTCCTTAGCATGTCCCTTCTGCTGGTGTGGATAGAGCAGGCCAATCCCATAGGGGTAAGACAGTTCCTCAAGACAGCCTGGACCCATGTCATGAAAGGACTTTAAAGATGATAAACTACACATCTTGAATTGTACCTGGAACCAGCAGTCAGTGCACTCACAGAATATTTGTATAACATGGACCATCTTGGGAGTCCCAAGAACTGCCTGTGCTGCCACATTCTACACCAGTTGCAGCTTCCAATGCTCAAATACTATTCACGGGTAGTCCCATATAAATTGCATTCCTATAGTTCAAGCATGAGTTGACATTAACTGTAAAATACCATTATATTTTAAAGGTTCCTCAGTGGACCAACAGGCTCCATGCTCTAGAACAGGGATGTCAAACTTGCATTATCAAATGTATTGTGACTGCTCCAGCAGTTTACCTCTTTGCAGCAAGCAGCAGAGCCCTGAAAACAGCTGAGAGCAAATCAGCTGAGAGTCAGGAGGCCAATCCAATCAACTTGTGCTAATTAGCCTGTGCTGAAGCTGAAAGGAACTGTTTTTTCTTGCTGTTTGCTTGCAAGGAGGTAACTGCTGCGAGGCAGAGGCCAAAGGGTGGGGGCCAGTGAGTGGGCGGGGCTACATTCGGTGTATAAGCCGCACCTAAATTTTCATCCCCTTTTAAGGGGGAAAAAGGTACGTCTTATACTCCGAAAAATATGGTAGTTTTATTTGTTTCATTAAATTTTTATGCTGCCCATTATGCTGTCCTATAATGCAACTCTGTTTTAGCTTAACGAAAATAAGAGTGAGGGAAGACATAATAACAGTGTTCTAAGACATGAAGGGCTGCCACAGGGAAGACAGTGTTAATTTATTTTCCATAGCATCTGAGGGTAGGACAAGAAGCAATGGGAGGAAGTTTGTCATAGCGAGATGCAACCTAGAAATTAAGGAGGAGTTTCTTGACATTGAGAACTGTTAAGAAGTGGAACAGCTTGCTTCTCTGAGTTATTGGTCCTCCATCCTGAAGCTTTCAATTGTTGGAGGTTTCCATTTGTCCGAGATAGTATGAGGGCAAGAGGCTGGACTAGAAGACCTCGAAGGTCCCTATGATCCTATGATTCAGACTGTCTCTGAGAATTATTTACAACTCTTATTAAATTGCTGATAAATGAACTGTTAAAAGGCCAAAGCCACAATAGTCATGAAACATAGATAGCAGACTCAGGTATAACAGGTGGAGGTAACCAACAGGCTCAAGGCAAAAGTTGAAAAAAAAAACCAATTTAGGCAAACTTCCTATTGTAATACCCCAAAAATGTTTTACAGTTTTCTCTTGAGTAAATTTCCTTAATATGCCATAAGTCCACCCATGAAAAATGCAACCTCTAAATAAGAACAAACAACCACAAACAGAATATAATATTTTCCTCAACATCTGTCCAGTCCCGATGTGCTCTAACGTGAGCAAGACTATACATTTATTGGTGTGGGAATTTTCTGAAATGTAATGCTTAGATTTATATATTGACATATAAAGATAGTTGATTGCTATACTGTGGGTTATTTTTTTTATTGTACTTTTATGGTATACTTATAATCAGTGGTGAAATCTAAAATTTGTTACTACCGGTTCTGTGGGCGTGGCTTGGTGGTGGTGGTGGTAATGTCACTGGGTGGGCGAGGCCATTTTTTTTTTACTTTTAAAACCATTTTTTCTGTGAAGAGGTTGTAAAAAATGCTTTTAAATGTTTCTGATGATCCAAGCGGAGTTGCCTGATCGTTAAGAGGCATTTAAAAGAAAAAGTCTCTGCCGATCAGGCTTGGATCGTCAGAGGCATTTAAAAGAAAAAAAGGATTTTTTTCTTTTAAAAGCCTTTGATGATCCCAGCTGAGCCGCGCGATCATCAAAGGCTTTTTTTTTTTTTACTTTTAAAAGCATTTTTTCGGCCGAAGAGGTTGTAGAAGAAATGCTTTTAAAAGTAAAAAAAAAAAAGCCTCTGATGATTGTGCGGCTCAGCTGGGCATGGGGGGGGGGGCGCGCAGGGATTTTTGCTACCGGTTCTCTGAACCACTCACTCCATCGCTACCGGATTGGGTGATCCGGTCCGAACCGGGAGCATTTCACCCCTGCTTATAATCCTTTTTGTTAAGTTCTCACTAAAAAAACCCAACCTTCTTGCTGATCTTGTCTAAAAACAACTTTGTCTCATGACTTTTTCTCTCTGTATGGATGGGCATTAATTATCCCATACCCTGAAACCAAGTAATTTTGAAGCCTATCAGGTCCCACAGGAAGCTTTTATCTTGTTTGCTGTCGGACTTATCTAAAGAAAACCCTGGTTTTCAGTAATCACTTCAAGTGACAACAGAGAAGAGACAAATTGTTAGACCTTAATGTAACAATTGAGACATCATATCACTGAATTATTCTCCATTTTCCTAGCAGTCTATTATACTATTCCTGCAGCCTCTTTCTAACACTACAAACTTTTTCTCTCTTCAACCATTTGAGTTTCTTTTCAGTACATAAGCTTTTCTTTGAATGGTAATCTCTTTGCTTGCATTAAAACTCTTCCATTGTAATACCCAAACCTCCTTGACCTTTCCCTTTGTCTCTTTTCACAGAAATATTTAGATTCCTACAAGTAATTTTTACTTCTATTTGTCTAAATATATGTAAGTGGGTACAAATAAGAATAAGTTGCCAAAGATACAAAAGTAATTCATTTTTTAAAGAAATTTAGGATTCACAATGTCCACTGAAATGTTATTTAATGCAATGGTAATGACTATTATTTGGAATAAAGCTTCAGACATTAGATTCCCAATAAATATTTATAGGAATGTAGGAAGTTAGCACCCACCCCTTTCCTGGAAGAGTGAAATATTTTAGGAAATATGAAAAAGGCAGAATATTATATTTCCCTGGATGAGAAATATGAGAAGCATATTTTACAGACAAAGCAGCTCCCACCTTCCTGCCCCCCACCCTTTGTCAATGGGCCATTAAGGCCTGGGCCAGTCTATTCTACATAACAAAGATCTGCCTCCTTCAGGCAGAGCCATAGTAGGAATTGCCAAAGATAGGATTAGCCCTCTACACAATAGCAGCAGAAACTCAACACATGTGACCTGGGAAGCACATGTGACCATCAGCCAGCAAGGCCCCCACCCCCTGGGAGTCTGACAACCAATCAGGATACTCTTTCGGGGGCCCAAGAAATGCAGAGCCAGAGAGAGCATAAAAACCCGAGGATTTACTGTATCTGCCTTTTTCTGTTCAGGAACTCAAGCTATGTGATCCTGTCCACCATTAAACCATCTTTCCAAGCAGTCTCCATGTTTCCAGTGTCTGTTTTCCCCACTTGGAGCAGAACCCAGAAGGATGTTTCTTCCAACAGGAATATTTCATTACTTCACTCTCTTTCATTATGCAATTATTACCTTTTAAAAGATCATGGCTTGTTGCTTAGTGAATATATTTGTTCTTATCACCACAACTAGCATTTTTAACAGATGCTCTTTACCATACTTTAAAAAAATAAAACTGATATGAATTTTAATTTTTATAACTAACAATTTCGTTCAGATATTTTTTCATGCTCATTTCTCTCTTGACATTCTGAGAAATATGCTGACTCATTCCTGAAACATTAAGTTCCCTTGGAAAACCACATTAATTTTCAATAAAACTAAAGGAACAGTATTACAGAAGTGTTTGAGAGACTGCAGAAACTTAGAGTAGTTTTGCAATTCATAATTTCATTTAAAGTCTCTGAATGAACTTGAAATTAAATTCAAAAGTCTATGATAATAATTCTTAACTGGGAGAGACAGGTCTTTAAGCTCTTGTGGAAGG